CGTGTAAAATCCTGGGGTCGGGGAACAAATTCTGTTCTTCACATTTTTCAATAATGGTTTTAAACATAGTTTCATAAATTGAAGTCGTTTTACGTTCTAATAAACAATAAGCAGCAGTAATAAAAAAATAATTTTTAGGGACTCGTATTACATATAACTGCATAAAATAATCAGGACTGAGGTTAAAATTTCCATCACAATACCAAGTGCTTGCTTCTGTCAATATACGAAGTCCTTCATCCACAGCGAATATTATAACTCGTTCATGGTTTAAATCCATGTTGTCGGATAACAAAAACCGTTTTCCTTCATTCAATGACCAATCACCTAAATTACAAATTAAATATAATTTATATTGCACGGGATAAATTGTTCAATAATTTACGATTATTATCTAAAGCAGTGATTCCGTATATACCCAACAGAAATTCTACTGTAGCTTTCATTTTTACTGTTCATAACTTGTTGCAATAAGATGCATAGGGAACTGCGTATAATCAAAAATAATAATGTACCAAAAGTAATACACAGAATTATTCAGGTGTACATAAAATGTACACACACTACAATATCATCATTAAATAACAGCCAAATGGTAATAAACAAGCTTTTATCTTATCCATATTTGTTGATATCGATAAGCTTCGTTTAGTCGAATACGGTGTAATAATTTGGTGTATATAGTCATATACTTGCATTTAGTACATAAAAATAAAAATTGTTTATAGGGTTTTGTCTTTTATATGTAATTAAATGGCTGATTATAAAAATTAAACTATAATTTTTTTTTAATTTGTCCGGGGGGAGGTGGTGTGAGATTTTTGAAAATCTAAAAGGAGTAAAAAAGGTTGGGAATCACGCTCATCTAAAGCTACAATATTTTAATATTAGGTATACAATTAATGCACTATAGGTAGTAAATATTATTTACCTTCAATTTTCAAATCTTCTAAGGAAGTAGGTTTAGTAGGATTTAAATTGCTACGTTGATTTTGTATAACACGTTTAACAGAACTTTCGTTTGGTATATTCATTAAAACTTCATTCGGAAGATCACTAACCGCCTCAGCAAAAATCTGACTAGGTTTATCGCTAGATATTTTAGCACGATTTTCTATCTTGTGTTTAAATTTTTCAACTTCCAATGTAGTACGATTGCCAGCATGATAATGTTCTATTACTAATTTTGCTTTGGAAATGTCATTCGGTGTACATAATACTGCAGGACACTTGTATTTGTTCTTCAAGCTACATTTCCATCGTATACTCTTGGTTAATTTATGTTGAACCGTGTACGAGAATCCATCGTACACTATTTTATTTATAATATTACCTTTTGTTTTAAATTTAAAGATTTCACACATTTTCACAAAAATAATTATTGGATTTAAAAACACTAAGGATTTCACAGATACAGATCACCGAAGACACAGACTGAGCGCTTGCCAAAATAACCAAACTATTATCCAGAGAAATTCACTTTTAAAATTAAAGAAAGATAAGTAAAGATAAATAATGTGTGTAATAAATTTGTTATCTATGACTTTCGAATTAAAGTGATAATCTATAACATATAATATATAATATGGTTAGACCTTAGACCTAAGTAAAGATTAGGTGTAACAAATTTGTAATTTACGACTTTCCAAATAAAGTGATAATCTATAACATATAATATGGTTAGACCTTAGTCCTTAGACCTAAGCAAATATTAAGTGACTTAACTTAAATATTATTTGTGACAAACTTAATAATTATTAAATTTGGGACTTTTATTCTCGGAATTTTATTTCATCGGACCTTTTTACGCCGGACCTTTTTACGCCGGACTTTTTTTCGCCGGACTTTTGTTCGGGGATTCATATATTATGCATCAAATGTTGAATTTATAAATTTAAATTAAAAGTACCTAATAAATTGTTGTCTCAGTAATATCTAAATATAGACCTAAAAAATTATATAAACGATTTTAAGTATTAAAAATGATTTAATATAATATGAATTATGATATTATTTATTCCTAGAATATATTGGAGGTGCTAAACACCCTTAGCACCCCCAACATATGATAAGCGAGCGTAGCGGGCTGCAATTTTTTTGATTATACAAAAAAAAAATTGTGGGCCGTTCAAATCTTCTCCACTAGGGCCGAAGTACTCTCAGTCCGAACCTGACCGGGCTTGGTGCAAATGGAAAAATAAATCGACGCTGAAGAAGCCTGAGAAGAAGGACGGTGGACCCGATACAATAATATCTACTCCAACCATTAGACATCGGTTTGTTTTGTATACAAAAACAAAAATATCAATAACAATAATAATCATTTACGAACGAATGTTACAGCTCAACCAGCGCAATACCTATAGCTATCAAATTGAGAGCCTCGGAGCAACATCTATGGTTACTTTGAAATCGGAATCGGACACTACTGACGATGATTATACGATCGTAGGCGGCAATAAATTCAGTGAATTCAATTACAAACTAAAAAGAAAAATATTATGTATAATTTTTATAAGTTAGGTACCACTATACAAGCATACAACTGCAGTGCGTTAAAGGAATGCAATATAATTTATGTTTACAGATAGCCAACAATAACATAACGAGAGCCAGTGCCGTAAAAATCATAGGTGCAGGCGGTGCACAGCACTGGGGCCCGCAGGGTCAAAGGGCCCTTGAGGCCTTGGTCGGATAGATGTAAATTTTTTTTAATTTAATTCATAATAATTGTATTATTATCTTGTATTTAATTTCATAAAAGGCAATGTATAAACTAATAGCCTGGTCCGTTACTTGCAATTGTTAATCAAAATATTGGGAAATGTACTAAGCCAAAAGTAACATAAATAGATTTATAATATTTATTGTGAATAATGATTTATCAACAGCTTTTTGTGATGTTCTAACAGCTTGTAAAATTTTTTGACGATTCCTGTAACTGTGGCTTCAGCTGAAAGATCTTTTTCCAAACTTAAATTGATAAATTCTACTTTCCAAGAAAGATTAAGTAATATATCAGTATTAAGTATTGAAAGAGGTCGTACTGATGAAATTATTAATTAATATCAAAAAGGTTATTGCTGATTTTGCAAATGCAAAAGCTCGGAAGAAAATGTTTTTTTAATAATTAAACGTTATAAAATATGTAATAGGTATATTATTATAATATAATGATAGTTATAATTATTTTTACACACTTTTCTTAAGTTCGCTTTCACGTCTGTCTGTAATCAAATCTTGCACGCTCGATTTGAGGCACTTTTTGATGATGAAAAATTCTGAAAATTGGTTTAGACCTTGGTCTTGGATGACAATACAATATCCGTTGTCATTTTGGGACCCGGACCTCCAGGTCGGCGATGACGGGTGTGCAAAGTCATCTCCGAGGAAGTACATTTACGGAGTTTCTCTGGGTCAAGGCGGGTTAACCTAACCATTACTCGCCGTACTGAAGTAAATTAGCCGTACAGCATATAACAGAATAATGTTGTTAAAATAAAAAAAAAAATTTCATATAAAAAAATTTCAATTTGTTGTGTGAAACAAATTAAAAGTCTTGTCATTTCACGACCCAATAAATCATAATCATCAATAGTTTGATTCTTTTTATTAAATATAAGAAATTTGTTTCATAAATATTTTTAAACGTTTAATAAAAAAATTTACTTTTAACTAAAAAGGCGAAAATAAAAAAATAAAATACAATTTTAAAAACACACTTCTAAAAAACATATTTAAAAAAAAAATAATGAAAAATTTACTGATGAAAAATTTAAAAGTGTGTGGTGCTCTTACACTTGACATATACTCCCAGTCACCATCTTATAAACAGGATTGAACAAAGAAGTGTACCTATGTGAGACTAAGCTCGGCTTAAATGTTTTGTATGATGCACCACGCCACCACACACTTTTAAATTTTTCATCAGTAAATTTTTCATAATTTTTTTTTTAAATATGTTTTTTTAGAAAAGTGTGTTTTTAAAATTTTTTTATTTTTATTTATAGTGTTATAATGAAAACTGTTGTCATGAAAACTAAAATTATTATTTTTTTTTTGTAACTTATTTATTTTATCTACCGTAGTTTATTTTACAAGTTTTTTTTATTAATAAACTGTTTTATGTATCTCTAGAAAGAGGGGCCCATGCATTTTGTTTGCACCTGGGCCTTTGACTCTCTAGTTACGGCACTGACGAGAGCCGATTGCCAGGGGGTCTATTCTCGAAAACTACCTACGTAAGGAAAAAGAACGAGCAAAATGTACGTAATCCGCCATTTTTACGTAATGTTTCAAAATTTCGTATTCTCGAAACTTTTGGAACGAAACGTATACGTAAATATTCGTAATCGACGTTCGTCAACCTCTGTACGTAACGAATTGATCGTTTCGTATTAATTATCATACTATTTGTTATCTTATCATTTTTGTTTATTGGTTTATTGTCAATTTGTATTTTTTAAGTATATTACCTACTATATTAAACAGTTATTAAATAGTTTTATTATACGATTGAGCGTCGATTCCGATATTACAATTTATTTTTTTCGGGACTTGGGAAAATGGCTCTTGAAGATATTGTGCACTTGGAAGTCTTGGGAATGTTAGAGGAAGCTGAAATTAGAGCTGTAGGTAATCGGCCTAGGCAATATTATAATGCCCAAAATGTTATGGAAGGTTGGTTTGTGTAATAATAATAAATAACCTATACAGTGAAACTTCCATATAGCGGTCACTGAAGGGACTGTAAATAATGACCGCTATTTAGAGGTGCCCGTCCTACAGAGGTGACCGTTAACAGAAGTTGAAGACCTTCTAGGTGACCGCTATATAGAGGTCATACAAATTTTAAAAATAAAACACCAATATTAAAATAACGCATATGAATATGGGTATTAAAAATTGTATTTATGATTTACGAAATAAAGTAGGTAGGTAGGTACAGTTTAAAATTAAAAAAAATCTCATAAGCTTTTATAAATAGGTACATATTAAAATTAAAAAAATTGAGTTATATTAGTTTGTTTTAAATTCATTTGATTATTTGAACATTTTTTTTCAAAATAAATTTCTGCGGTTTTTAACATGTCATAACCATCTACGTCACCTTTTTGAAGAGTGAAAGCTGATAATTGTTGTATTTGAGTTAAAACCTCAGAATAGTTTGATACAGTGTACTCGGGTTCTTCAGTTTCTTCATGTGTTTCCTCTTCGTCATTATCTGTTATTATGAATAACTTGATATCAGTACTATCTTCTTCAGTTCTTAGATTTTCGTCGACCAAAAAAAAATCTTCACCTTGCATATGAGTTGGCAGCATATTAACTAATTGTTCACCAACAATTATTTCGTTTTCAAGATCTGTGTTATCTAAATCTACAGGCAAATTTTCCAAAATAAAACCTGATTTTTTAAAACATTTAGTAACACAACTACCAGTTATTTTCTTTACAGACTGTTTAATCCACATCAAAGCGTCTAATACAGTAATGCTTTTTGGAAGTTCATCAGCATCTTTTACTACGTCTATCTGTGATAATATTCGTCTAAGTATCATTTGTCGGTAAATAACTTTAAAATTTTGGATTATACCTTGATCTAAAGGCTGACAGTGTGACGTCGTATTTGGTGGTAAAAATACTAAGTTTATGTTTTGTAGTTTTAAATCAGGATGTGATGTTGCATTATCTAAAAACAAAATAATTTTACGCTTTTGTTTTTTCATTTTTTCATCAAACCACATTAACCACTCAGTCATTATACATCGTGTCATCCATGCTTTTTTATTTGCCTCCCAGTGTAGGTCTAAGCGTTTTATGTCCACATTCTTAAAGCAACGAGGTTTCTTAGATTTACCTATGATTAGTGGCTTTTCAAATTCACCTATTAAATTAACGCATAACATGACCGTCAATCTTTCTTTAGACTTTTTCCCAGAAGTACAAATTTCATTTTTAAAACTTAATGTTTTATTAGGAAGAATTTTATAAAATAATCCTGGTTCATCTGCATTGTAAATATTTCGTGGCTCATAAGAAGAAATTAATTGTTTGACTTTTATACGCCATTCGTCCACTGTTTCCGTGTCAACCGATTTACTCTCGCCGCAAACCACTTTAAAAGAAATATTGTAGCGTGATTTAAATTTATCAAGCCAACCATTTGACGCTTTACAATTTTCACATTCAAATTCTTTACTTACTTGTGTAATGGGATTACGTAATATCATGTATTTGTTCTTAAAAACAACCAGGAATGCGACCACACCCAAAAGTGTTTTCGACTAAGAATACCACTTTCATAGTCGTGAGGTCCATATCAAGGACGACTGTACACGCGCCGCTCACTTCAAAGGACGCCGCCACCATATACTCGTATATAGGGGACAGCGAGACAGCCTGAGTAGATGTATCCAGAGACGAGAACACCACACGACTCGCTTAGCCGCCCAGCCATCACACAAAACTTACACAGAGATTATCAATTCTTGAACGAGCTACAATTCGCTACAATCAACACTACTATTCTGCTTATTTTGTCTGGTTTAATATAATACATTTGATTACCATACTAATTGACTATTATTATTTATCAAAGTACACCAGCTTTTGGATCCCTGAAGGGCCGCATGTAACACTTGTAAAGCCTTTTCTTTAAGTATTGGTCCACTGATTGGAATATTTTTAGCACGGGCTGCACAAAACCATTCGTATACAACTTCGTTGATATTGCCTGATTCGGTTTTACGACGTTTTGTAGTTTTCATTTGATCATTACCGTGGGATTTCCATAATTTTAAAATCGTTTCTCTGTTTTTTATTAAGTCGGTGGCTTGAGTTCTTCCTATTCCAAATTTATCTGCAAGAGTACGTGCACTCACATTTTCTTTTTGGTAAAAATCTAACGATTTGATTTTTTCTGTTAAAGTTAGATGTTTTCGTTTGGACGCCATTGAAATTATAGGTACGTACTTCGAAACGTTTTAAACATACAATGAACACAAATGACAAAATACACAGTCACGGACAAGTACGTACTTCGAAACGTTTTAAGCATACACTTAACACAAATGACAAAATACACAGTCACAGACAATTGTTATCGTCTTATCGACATAAAAATTAAGCTCGTTAAGATAAACTGTCAAAAATAATTTCGAAATAATAATTTTCCATTTGATATACAGTATGTATGTACTTTTAAATGTTGACCGTTAATTAGAGTGCCCGCTATTTAGAAGTATTAATGTATTTTTCCCATAACACTCGACGGGACCAAACAAATTGACCGTTACATAGAGGTGACCGTTAACGGAAGTTTCACTGTAGTATTTATAGCCTTCTTAGTTCATACCTACTTAATTACATTATACATTTATACTCATTATAATTTATAATATTTTTAGAATTATCTGACCACCAGTTTCTAAAAAAGTTTAGATTCAGTAAGGCTTTGGTTCAGGAGTTAATAGATGTATTAACACCGTACATGATTGAACCAAATAGATTATCTTCAATCCCAATTAAGATAAAATTCAAGTCATAATTATTTATTACTATATTATTAATAATAATTTATTATGATAAAATGTTATGAATAATATTAGGTTTTGACAGCTTTGCGGTTCTTTGCTAATGGCTCGTATCAACTTGATATAGGTGATAATAGATCATCAGCATTAAGTCAGCAATCTGTGAGCAGATGTATCGCTGAAGTGTCTAATGCACTGAATCAACCAGATATCATTAAACGTTATATAAGCTTTCCCGATAGTTTTGAAAAATTAAATGCAGTACGTAGAGGGTAAACACATTTTTTTACTCATACCTAAAATCTAAAATCTTTAAGGTGCCTATACTATGTGTACTAAAAATTAATATATATTTTTACATAAATTTAACCTATTATGATTTTCAAATTGCTGTATTTGTTCTAAACATGAACAGATTTCTTGATAAAAAGGGAGTGCCAGGAGTCATAGGGACTATAGACTGTACCCATATTGCCATATTTCCACCTCCTTCAGAAGGATTATACCCTGAACACATTTATGTGAATCGCAAGGGTTACCACAGCATTAATACACAATTAGTAAGTTATTAAGGAACATTCCATAGGTAGTATAATTTAGTTGTATGTCATTGCACTTTTTATTGAGTATGAGTAGAAGTGTAGAACCATAGTGGTACCTAGAACTTTAAAATTGAGTTTAATTGATAAGATTAGTAATAGATTATTAGTTCAATATTACCTACAGAAAAAAAACCATTGTTAATTTTAATTTTAATACATCACATCATTGCTCTGTTATTGACTAAAGATTTGTGACTCTGATGCAAGAATAATGAATGTTAATGCTAAATATCCTGGTAGCACTAATGATTCATTTATATGGCGGCAAAGTATGATATCCACTTACATGGAAAACTTGCATGACAATGGACATACTTCATATTTTTTATTAGGTAGGAATGATAATTTTTATGTTTACAAATTATAAATCTTAAACAATAACTGTAGTTCATAAATATTTTGTAAACAGAAAATAATGTTGGATCTTTTAATCATATTATTCTTGTTATTAGGTGATTCAGGATACCCACTTAGACCTTGGCTCCTAACACTATTAAGTGATCCTATTCCTGATACACCTGATTCCTTGTTTAATAAGTGGTTGACTAGTACACGATCGACCATTGAAAGATGTAATGGGATATTAAAAATGAGATTTAGGTATTAAAAATTAAACTAAAATAAAAAAATTTACCATTTATTAGAATTGTTAAATATTAAAAATGTTTTTATTAGATGTTTATTAAAACACAGAGTTTTGCACTATAATCCAGAACGAGCTTCAAAAATCATAGTGTCATGTTGTATTCTTCATAATATCTGTATCAATGCAAACTTGCCCTTTCCTGAGAGAGAACCAGATGATCCTCTAGACATTGATTTTGGTATATATGGTGTCCTTGTTCCTGAATTAAATCCTACAGTTAATCCTCAACTTGCTGTAGGTCGAAGAGTACAACAACTTTTGATTAGATCATATTTTACTTGATAGAACATTCTTTTTTTTTCAATGATAATTTTAAAATTAAAATATAAAACAATTTAACATTATTACAATAAACCAATATTGAAGTAAAAAGCATTTATAGTTATATGTTAATTATTATTAGTTTTAGAACCCAGGCAGTTAATAATTTAAAATAATATTCATTCACCAATATATTTAATATGTAATAAAGCATTAGCAAACACAAAAGTTTTCAACTTGTTGTCCAGTGGCCGATCCCCTGGATCCGCCACTGTTGTTGTCTTTATAGTTAAAAAATCAAAGAACAACTTAAATAATATATTGAAATTTTAAAGTTTAAAACCTAAATCACAACACAAATAATACATCCTTCCAAGAAATTCACCCAATATAACTGAATTTGTTTTAGATTCTGAGCGGAGCGAGAAAGCTAGTGGTTTTACAATGGTGTTTATTTTTTTTTTTATCCTGTATACAACATTTCTACCAGAAGGAATGCTTTGATTTCAACATATTATGTTGAATATTACCTTATCTTTTTTGAAAATTGGATCAAGATGGTACTTTAGAGAGGTAATTTTTCGATTTTCTCAATAGTTAATTAATTCCACGGGAAAAACTACCAAAAAATTACGAAAAACTGCTAAAAATGGGATTTTAATGTTTAACGCTTTGTTTATCACCATAGCTTAGGATAAAAAAAAAAAATTATATAATAATATTAAATCAATTTACTAAGCTATAATAAATAATAAAAATATACAAAAAATCCAGACTGACACACCATCTCCGCTCAGAACCGTTTTTCTTATACAATGTTATTATATCATTGAATTAAAGTTTAATACAAACCATTCTACATTGACCCACTAGTAACCTACAGTACAACAGAGCGACATCCACTTACCCGCTTTTGTTAATTATTCATATACACTTTATATTGAATATAACATTAATACAATAACATGCAACATGCAACATTTAATCAACAAACAATTATGTATAAGCATTTATGTTTTATACTTAGCTGCAATAGTGTCAGCTATCAATGCCATGGCATTTGCCTTTTTTTCTTTGGCCACAGTTTGCCTTTTCAAAAGTAATAGTTTTTGCTTATAATAATTAGCTTTCAGTTTTGTTCTTTCAGAACTAATTGAAACTAAGGAACGCGATGCTTCCACTGTATGGGAAAGCGTATTTTTCATTTTTCCAAAATTTTTTTTGGAGTTACTCCTAATAACAGTTATAATTAAGATATAATATAGATAGATAATAGATCCATTCACTCTAATATAACACACAATTTGTTTTGTTGAATGCAAATTTGGTATGCTCTATATTTGTAAACACTATCTTAATATTATAAAATTAATATATTATTATTTATTCATCATAAAGAACATACCTTATTGGTGACTCGGGTAATTGGACGGATGAAAAACAATTATTATCTGGCATATCAGTTTCAGTGATTTCTTCAAGACCACTGAAACAGCTAAATGTAAATTCAAAAGATAGTATTATGAGCTAAAAACATTACATTTATAGTAACCACTTATAATATTAATTTACCAAAAAGTTAATTTAAATAACAAACTTACTTAGTCAATAATTCTTCGACATTATCTCCATCAACCAAATCATTTGAATGTACTTGTTGGTTACTGTCATCTACATCTACTCCATACTCCATATTGTAATTTGTATTTTCAGACAATCTATAGGATAAATATGATCAATGGACATAGTATATAGTATATACCCAGTTTACTTACCTAAACTACTCAAAGAATATTTAATATTAATATCAACGGGCCTACTGCTAATATGAATAATAAATCAACGTTAATTAATATTTGTATAGTATACAGGATGTAACACCAAGACATGACAGATGAAATAACTTTTGTTCTAACAAATATTTCAAAAAAAAAAAAATTTTCTTTATAATTTATAGTCACTTGCGCACACATAAAATTATTTTTATTTTTTAATACTAAACAATTCAAAATTACCAATTTGTAAATCTGATTATAAGAACAATTTTGAAGGTAAAAACATTTGTCTAAGTCAAGTAGAATATTTTTTAGATTTTTTTTTAAATATCAATATTTTTTTTATTAAATTAATTTAGAATGTCATAACTATTCTCAACATTTTATTTTTGGGAATTTCTTGACAAGTACATTTCTTAAATTATTTACTAACCATATAATTTTCACAATTTTTGTCGTACGTTTAAGTAACAATTTATTTGTTGTCAAGTCTTTGTTCTTCTTGTTACACCCTTTATACAACCAAATTTTAATATAAATGTTATACTATAATTGTTATTATTTCAATACAAACAAGTAACAAAAACCATATAATATTATATATTATATAGTTATATATACCTATTATAAACAAATTACATTTGTTAGAAAAATAATTTCAGTTTAGACAATTACATTATATTTAAAACAAACTTTTACAATACTTACTCATTTTTTTTCTATAATACTTACTAATAGCGAATATAGGTGAAAATACTATTTAATACTACAAGTTATCCTTAACAATGTTTAAAACATAGTTTTGTAAAAAATATGTTTTAAAAGTATTCAAGTACAGATACAGTTACTTTTACTCTAGTATCTTACAACACTGTTAAAATAAAACTTACAGAACGTTATTTCTAAAAAAATTCATATTAACTGGACTTTCAAAAACTGAATTATGTCCTTCCACGACAGTAGGACCCAACACATCAAATATTTTTTTCTCTAGCTCATTAAGCTCACTATAATCAACCTCACCACCACCTGTCTTATTTTGTTCTTTCCTTATAATGCCAGCTTTCCCTTTTTTATTTGTTTTTAAATCACACAATGTCTGAAAAATATATATCAGGTTAAAACATAGGTACATAAGTAATATGTATTAGTATAAACAATACAATTGATTGTTAATAAATAGGGTTTGCATATGAAGGTAGGTAATTCATAAAAAAATGTGATTGATTTAATTTCTATGTTAATGGGTTAACATTATGTTTACTCTTTTATTATATTTTGTGTTAATTTATCAATCTATTACAACAATTTTTTTATGTTTAAGGTACATATCAATAATTGTTAAAATACAATTACAATGATATGTGTTTTTTCTACCCGTCATCATTTTTTGGGAGAGTATAAATGCTCTGATTTTTTGATAGAGAAGTGAATCAAGTTGATGCATTTGAGATGTAAATATTAAAAGTTCTCAGTAATTTTACATTTAAAATGCTTTTTTTATTTTTTATATTACTTTTAAATCCAAACTCCAATAAAAATAAATTACAATTATATATATTTTCTATTATAAATATTTACCTTTCTCCATTCGTTCCACGATTTATGTGGTCCAACCTCACTGTTCAACATATTCGCTATATTTTCCCATAGTTTTTGTCTCTGTTTTACTGAAGATTTTATAGTATTTTTCCCAGACACAAGCTCAGGATGAAAAACTATAAAATCTACCAACATATTTTTTTGTTTTTCGGTAGAATTCGGTTTTCTGCATTTTTTTGACTCCATTTTTAAAACTTATTAACAATTTAAAACACTACAACTTTTTAATTTAATTGTGAATAAATCATGAGTCATGACAAATTAAATTTATTTACTTAATTTGTCATGGAAAAAAGGACGAATGCAAAAAAAAAAAACTATAAAGACGGATCATATGTTTATTAGAAAACAAAACAAAACTTAATACCTACTACCTATGCACAAATCATTAATCAATATTATTAGTTATTACCAAAGCTATTTAAATAATTATTTATCCATTATCATTAGTCATTTCTACGCCGACCGACTGTGATAACATAACATTTTTTTTAAAAGCCCGCCAAAACTGTGATAAGACAGACATTTTACAGAGTTACCAACTACAATTTTAATATTTCCTAAGTTCGAGTTATTCGTATACGAATCGGTCGTTTACGTTACTCGTATGATGTTCGAGAATACGAGATAATGAACTTAGACTAGCAAAGATAACGAACTGCTCGTGTACGAGTAGTAACGTATACGTTTGGTCGCTCTTTTCGAGAATAGACCCCCAGTCTTGTAAACGATACTACTAATGACTCTGGTATTCAAGTATCTACCGATACATTCAGTGCCGGATCTATGGATACTTTGAGAACATAGACGGAATTCCATTGAAATTTCTGGGGGGTTAAATTAACTAAAAGAAACCCTTATTCAAATATTATGATAGAAATTTAAACGTAAACCTCATTGCGTCGCATATTTTATTGAATTGAATCATAACACAATTTAATAGCATGCAAGTACACATAAATACCTTAACAAATTTCCTTTAAAAGAATATATTTATTCAAATTGTGGTAACACAATTGTTCGATTTTGTTTGCGAATTTGTCAATTATGATGTCATTGTCAGTAGGTATGTTTTACAATATCCTTTTAAAAATTCAAAATTTTGTTTATAATAATTTAATATATAATATAATATAATATAATATAACAGGGGTGGCCAAACCGCGGCTCGCGTCATAGACTTTTGCGACTCGCATCTTATCGTAACATTTAAAAAAAAAATTTTTTTAATATGAATTTATGTATTTGAAAAAGTATAATATTTTATTAAATTAAATTAAATTATTAAATTACAGTGTATAGAAAAAAATTTGTAAAAATAAAGTATTCTTGATATCATTTTTCTTAATTGACTATTTTCTTATTTGTTGCGTGTTTATTTTGCTTGTAAGCTTTTTAAAATCAGGACTATATGTTGTTAACGCAGTCCTTAACAATTCAGTTAAATGATCATCCGTTAATGTTGATCGATGTTTAGATTTAATCATTTTCGTGGTTGAGTATAAAGACTCGCAAGAATATGTTGTTCCAAAAATCGATATTAACTTTTGAGCGCAAAGAGTGATTTTTGGATATTTAATAACAGGCACATGTTTCCAAAATTCCAACAAAGAATGACAACTGTATTTGAACTGCTTCAGTCCTTCATCTTCCAATAATTCCAAGAGTTCAATTTATAAAAATTATGTATAATATATATAATATTGTAATAGTTTCTCCAAATTATGTCGTGTTTCGTGTGAAAATATATGATATAGATTAACTAATTGTGCAATAGGTATATTATATTAAATATAATCATATATTTTCACACGAAACACGACATAATTTGGAGAAACTATTACAATATTTGGGGGGTTAAGTTCCCTAAGCTTCCCCCATTTATACCAATGCCAAGGAAAAAAATTGAATACCCCTTATTATACTCCGGCCCAGGAGAGAGTACTTCTCGCTCGCGCATCCAAATGAATTAGCTCCGCGGTGTCGGCCCGAATTCGCCACCAAAGTTCCCCCACTCACTGCAAGCGACTGGCGGCTATACCACAGCCGCCGCCGCCAAGCGGCAACAGGTGGTTTGTATACACAGGCACAAGTAACACATTACGAAAATAATAACACCTGGCGACTGGCGCACCTAATATGTATACAACAATAATGCAAATCATATTATATATGTAATATTAATTTTTTTATTTATGTTTACCAACAAAAATGATCAATTGTACATAAGATAATACACTTTGTAATACTAATTTAGTAAAAAAAAATCATAAATAAAATGATATACAAAAAAATTTAAATAATAGCGAAAAAAAATCAAAAAAATTAAAATACAAATAAATCAATCAGAGTCATAATCTGAAGAACTTGACGTATCACCAGTTCCTATCAATAGAACATGACGTGCTCCTTCTTCTGGTAGATTGTCTATTAATTCGTCAGTTGTATGCTCGATGTTCCAAAACTTTTCTTCTTCCTTTATCACATGTCCAACAAAATTGGTCCACATTTCCGGAGTGACGTGGTCCACGCCTTTTTTCAACAACTCCTGTACGTCCTTTAATTTGAAGGTGTTGTTATGAGTCCGAACATAACTTTTTACCGACGACCACTCGAGCTCGATGGGATTTAGCTCGCAGTGATGTGATATGGTGGTAATCGCAATATGAGTTTGTTATTTTCTTTCGCGTACTCATCAATTACGTATTGGTCGTACTGTTTTTTTATTTTTCGGACTTTTTTCATTAAATCTACTTTTACAATGGAATGTTTAATGACCTCACCTTTGCTTTCAAGCCAATCTATAATGTCTTGTTTTTTCCAAGACATGACCGGTATTTTGTGCTTCTTCACGGAATGGTATGAGGCGTTGTCCATTACAATAACGGCGTTATCCTTCAGCAACGGCAGGGTTTTAACAAACCATTAAAAAAATGTATCGCCGTTCATTTCATTGTGGTAGTCAGACGAATTGGTTTTAGATTCAAAACACAAAAGGCCCCCCGGGACAAAACCATCTGTCGATCCGATATGCAGTACGATGAGACGCTTACCTTTCCCGGAGGGTTGCTTTTGTCCTGCGGTGAGGCCATTGATGAATGCATCTCGTGATGACTTGACCGTGGTATCGAGCCATGCCCTGTTATGCGTCTTGCCTGCGTTGACCCCGTCTCGTCCAAGTAATATATTGGCCTATTCTGTGATCTGTAATGCCTTATTTTATCTAAATAACCTCGGCGCCAAGTTATTAGATCTTCTCTTTCGAGGAGAGCACTGTTCCGATTTTTTTTTACATATTCAAATTGCAGATCTTTTAATATTCGTTGGAAAGACGAACGACTAAGGCTTGGTAATGAATCATCTTCATTAATGGCAACTAACATTTTTGGAATAGTGGGTACCTCACAGTTCCTCCAAAAATTATGAATTTTTTGTCGTATGGCCTTTTTATCAAATTCGTCAACTTTTTCAATAATTGTAGGTCTTACTTTTTTTTTGTTGGGCGATGTCACTGAACCTTCATTTCTGTACTCGGCCAATGTGTTTTGTATCGTACGTTGCCCAATGCCGGTAGTATTTGAGATGTAGACGATCATTTGTCTGAAAGACAATTTGCTCATCTCTGGATTTTCCAGCTGTTTGAGTTTGTCTTTATACACATTAATAACGATTTTCTTTTGACCAGTGCCCATTAACTATACAAAAAACAATATATTTAAAAATTAAAAATTCGCAATAGAAATATATAAGTATGCAAACAATTACTTTTCCACATGGATTTTTTTAACAGGAGAAATATCTACGACGTCCATGTTATAATCTGTAGTTAGGTATAAAAAAAATAATACTGTTTAACTACGTAAAAACTGGAAAAAAAACTGTGTAGGTATACGCAAAAACGCAAATTTTGTGTATGTATACAAACACGTAAAATAACGGTAACACTATAGCACGCGCTGTATACAACCACTGTCACCGTTTCATGGTCGGTGGTGGCGACGGTGGCGGCAACGGTGGTGGCGGCTAGAGTTGGCGGTGGCCAGCGTACGGGAAGGTTTTGTGGTGGGAATGCGAGAAAACGAACACGTTTGAGCCGCCGCCCAGAAGTACTCTCTCCTGGGCCGGAGTATAGTTAGTAACATGTATGTTCTTATAATTTGTAGGGAATAGTATATTGTGTGGCAAGGGCGGGAAGTGAGCTATTTCAGTTGCGGGCTGCGGTTCGTGCCGTATTTCGCCCGATACTGAAATTGAATTCCCGCGTGAGCCACACATACTATTTTTTGTCAAGCCTCTGCATTCATCGATCACGGCAAAGGTAATGCAGGGATCTATGCAACAACTAGTCTATAATTCTTCAACAACAATATTTCATGAAAGAATCGATTTGGTTTTATTTATTTGAAGTATCACCACGCAAGGTGGTTATAATATGATTATAAGATGTAACCTAAAGTTTATGTTTTGTGAGGACCGTAGGGGCGTATACAAGGGAGGTTTAAAATTATGATTAAGCATTAATATTAAAATTAGCATTAAAATCAGGATGCAATTTTAAACTATAATTTTTTTGGGACGCCAAAATATACTTTTCAGAGGTCACCGTGACTCAGGACAAATAATATTTCAAGCTACTGAAGACTAAAAATTTAACTGATCCAATTTATTCTATTGTGAAGAATGAAGGTAATTTTCGCAAACTTTTGAAATAACGTGTTATGTCTGGTGATACAAAATTGAAAAATGACTTGCTTAATTTTAATTCAAAAGCTATTTATATATCTCCAATCATCCAAAAATATCTGATTAAATGTTGTAAGGAAAAAATACTGTCGTTCATATTAGATTAAGTAAATACAAATCAATTTTACAGTATTATCTTTGATGAAACAACTGATGTGTCTCATATATCACAAATGAGTTTAACTTTAAGGTACATTGATAAGAAAAATAACATTTATGATCATTTCGTTGGTTTTATCAATTGCCATGATACATTTAATAAAAACCAGACTGCCATTCCAAATAATGATTTGTCAGATACATTGATTGATGACCATTTATCTAAAAAACCGAAGCTAACAGGTGAATACATTATTTATTTAATTGTATTACTTTAATTAAAATCTAATTTACCTTGATTTTTTCAGGAAATGTACTTGGAAATATAGTAGTATCAGAGTTAAAAGAAATGTCACTTCACCTTAAAAACTGTATAGGAATTGGCACGGATGGTTGTTCTGTAATGACGTCAGTGTCAAGAGGAGCTGTGCAAGAAGTCCAGAAAAGCTGTCCAAATGCTATATACAGCCCTTGCACTAATCACGCTCTAAACTTATCAATTTGTAAAACATCGAAAGTCCAAATCGTTAGAAATACTATTTCATTTTTTCATTTATCTTCCAAAAGGAATTTCATCTTGAAAAATAACCTTAAAAGTTCCAAAAGTTCTAAGACATCATTAACCAGTTTGTGTGTTACACGTTGCGTAGAACGTCACACTATTATAATAGACTTTGAAACCAACATGTCAGAAATTATAGAAAGTCTAACACATATATCTCAATGGACAGAATAAGTTTCATCATCTAAAGCTTGAAAATATTACTACAGTTCTATAGTCACCAGAGCGCGCTTCCTGTCCTATGAAGGCCTATGTATTCATATTGTTAAATGCAAAATGTCATAAAACTTAAGAATTAAAATGCTTTTTTTTTAATTGAAGTTAGTATTTACAAAAACATTGAATCATAATAAGTTTTTTTTTTTTAAATCGAGATAAATTGGAGCCTGTAATTATACATTATATTTACATTTGCATATTTACAATATTATAAAATATGATGTATAATTTAGTCACTTCTTTGGATGTTTGCATCCTTCTTAAAATCTTTAAGTTAAATTAAAACTATTATGATTCTACTCCTAATTTTAATAGTAGTCTGGTAGAGTGGAGTATTATTTTCTAGTGCTCATAAAAAACTCTAGAAACATATTTAAAATATTTTGCATATTTTATTATATGATTATAGGTATATTATTTATATTATAATATTATTCAATAATAGTTATCTTATAAACTTCAAACTAATTTTGAAAAATTGTTTAGTTTTTTTGGTGTTTTTGGTGTTTTGATATAATGCGTTATGATATATTTGGTTAATATTTGATTGTGTATTGAGCAATCAACTTTTGTCAAAAATTTTGTTTATACATTTCTTCAATAACTACAAATTATGTTAGGAAAATAAACAGTGAAAAATGTATTTGATGTTTTTAAATTGAAATGCGACATTACAAACATGATCTTTTACCGAGACAGCTAGTTATATATATTTAGATATTTTACAGTATAATCTAGGACAGTGCTTCTCAAATTTTTTTTGTCATGAGGCTCCCTAAATTTAATGTAAAACTGTCAAGGCCCTCTTAATCAAAAATTATATAAAATAAAATAATATTTTCATTTTAAGTAATTAAAAAAACTAACACTTATTTAAAAAAAAAAAAAATCACATTTTACTATGTTAATGCATCATAATTATTTTAAAGTAAATTTATATTATATACAATTATTAATTTAAAAATATTTTATAGCACAGAATCTATTTGTCGGTCTTTTTCTTTGGCGAAACGATCAATAACTGGGCGTCATCCGATTGCGTCCCGTTTCAACCTTTTATACCTTTTCAGTATGTCGATTGCGTCCACAAGTCGAATTATTTTTTCTTACCTTTTTATGTTCCGATTGCGTCCTATTGAATAATATACAAACATTAAATTACTCAATATTTTAATATGATTTTAGTAATAACTATTGAACACATTCGTAGTTCTAAGATTGATATATTGGAAAACGAATAGTCATAACTAGTAATTATTTTTTAATTATTAAATAATTTAAATAATAAATTTCTAGCCCACCAATAAAATGAAGTCCAAATATGTATATAGGAATAAATAATTATATAATACATTTCTAATCAGTGTTATAAAATAATAATAATACAAAAACCAATAAAATGAAGTCCAAATATGTTTATAGGAATAAATAACTAAATAATACATTTCTAATCAGTGTTATAAAATAATAATAATACAAAAACCAATAAAATTAAGTCCAAATATGTATATAGGAATAAATAATTAAATAATACATTTCTAATCAGTGTTATAAAATAATAATAATACAAAAACCAATAAAATTAAGTCCAAATATGTATATAGGAATAATTAATTAAATAATACTTTTCTAGTTAGTGAATACGTCATTTAAAAAAAGGATTTTTAAGTGAAATAGTTTTAAGGTACTGTAAAAGGGTTATAATTTTATTATTTAAATTGTTTATTTGTTTATCAATAAATTCCTGTTTTTTTCAAATACTTTGCTCTGCGTTTAACAGGTATTAAATTATGACTTGACGTTATTTTGATGTATGTACCTGTATGACATTGTTTTAAAATATTTAGAAATTGATAAATATTGGGATGCGATGTGTAGAAAAAAGAGTTAAATTTTGAATGGAAGCTTTCGCAAGCATTTGTAGTACGCTGCATACTGCTGCTCATTTCAGGCGGAAAATGTGAATTTGAATCAATATAGTAATCAATTAAATAATCAGTAAATTTTCTGAGATTTTCATTTAAAGGCTGAATGGAAGATAACTCATAAGCATAGAATTCCCCTACCATATCAGGATTTAGATAAGGCAATCCGAAAATATATTTTAAAAATGATCCTACTTCACTGGATTTATTATTGTACTCTGAGGTCAATCCAAGTTCTTGGATCTTACGCCACCATGATTGGCCCAAATGAAAATGACATCCTTGTATTTTTATTAATGGCCAAACTATATTAGCTGCTTTATGAATAGAAGATTCAAAATCAACGTGAATTACTTCAGGATTAAAATTTAAACCAATTTTGGAACATTCGTTAATTAAGCCTCTAAATGCATTTTCATAAGCGTTACATTCTTTACTGTTAAGTAAAAAAAAAAGCAAGAGGAATATAATAGTCATTCAATATACCATGAATAGTAAATAACTGTAAGTAATATTTTGTACTACAACGGAATGTACCGTCTACGAATATTTCTTTGACTAAGTTTAATGCTTGTAAGTTACTAGTACACGAAAACATGATGATATTATTTATTCTATCATTAATTAGTACAAATGGTTCACCTTGAATAGTTGTTATATTTAACAATTCGATTGTTTCATGTACTTCTTGTATATTTTTTGGTAGAGTTGGTAATATCTTTCTTCTGGCCATATAAATTCCTCTGCGTATACATGAAATATCATCAGTTGTCAAATCATCGACTCCTTAAAAAAAAAAATAAATCATTCTAAATTAATTTACTCGAAAAATTTCATAAAATAATAAACTACTTGACTTAGATAAATATTTTCATCATTAATATAAATTAATTAAATTAATTAATAATTTTAAAATATTTTTTAGAACAAAAGTTGTTTCATCTGTCAGGTCTTTTTGTTACTCCCTGTATACTATATTTGCTAAATAATTAATTTTATATTAGAATTAAAAATTACTATCCTGCTTACCGTCTCTGTTTATTTGACTATGTATCAACATTGCCGGCCTTAGTGATATCTTCTGTTGCTTTACGTTTTAAATTATTTCGAATATTTTGTCTCTTTAATAGTTCAGAGGAATCCGGCTCGTGACAATGATTAGTTAGTTTACTTTCATTTTCTAACAACAGTAATCCACTTCTCTTAAAATAACATTTGCATTTTTTATTTGTGCAACTCCAACGCTCGACATCATTGGCCAACATTTTGTGGAAACGATACTTAAACTTATCAATAACTTTGATTTCTTTATTTTTTTCACTTATACTTTCACTAATATTTTGAGAATTCATTTTGAATTTGCAATATAAACAATAAACTTTAAAGTAGGTATCTCTCGACTCTAAGGCACTTGTCGTACTAAATCGCTACGTGATCGTAAAATCGATAAAAGTATACCAGCCTTAAGATAAAATGTTCGTAAAATCATCAAGTAAAAACCAATTCGTGTTTAAATATACCTGCACACCATATATGACAAAAATATTAGATTTAATATGTCAATTTATGTGTCACATATCTACTATACCTACTATACAATAGGACGTAACCGGAACACGGAAAAGGTGGGCAAAAATTCGTTTACCTGCGTCCGGGACGCAATCGACAAACTCCGCAATAACTTCAGCCGGATTGATATGAATTTGCCTATGAACACTCAAAAGAGCTAAACCTTTAAGTCGTTCTTGGCCTGATGAGTTCGTAAATAGTTTTTTAATCTTTTCATGGTTGAAAATGTACGTTCTGGCATAGAAGTCGAAACTGGCAATGTAGCTAATAGCTTCAAAAGAAAAGATATGTTTGGAAAATATTCATAATTACATTTAATATATGCTTCAATAGCTGAATTTGGTTGGTCTTTTTTATGGTTTGTTAGACTATTTTCTTTTCCAAAGTTTCTGTTGGCAGTACTTCTATATCCAGAAATTCAGAATATATTTCGAAGTTGTTTGCATCTATTTCAAATTTGTTGCATATTTTTGGTAACAACTTGTGCAGGGAAGAAATTTGTTTTTTGTGATTATTAAACCTTGTTTGAAGTTGTTCAATGAAATCGTCGAAAATAGGAATAGTTATTGTTATGCGGTAATATTCTTCAGGTGAATTTGTAATGACATTAATTTGATGTTTTTGACGTGCAACGATTCTTGGTATTTTTATGTCTTCTTCACTATCAACTGATTTTATGAGATCCTTTGCTTTTTCAAAAGTCTTGGAAAATGAAATATCCATATTACTCCGCATATCATGTATTTCGTGTAACACAGTATCAACATATTCCATTGCTTCAGTCATATCACAATTTACAGACTGTAAATTCTTACACAGTGGTAATGTTTAGGTAAAAAGTATAGAAGCTGTGGCCATACTTATAACAAAGTCGCGGGTTATAATAGTTTTTCCTAATTGTAAAGCTTTTGATGACGTTTCAATATCACGTTTTAACTGTAAGTCATCTAGTGTATTTACATTTGCTTTATAAATTTCTGTAAATCGTAAAGTCCGTCGTGATTTTCCACCCAGCGTGTCTCACACATTTATGTAAGTTTGGTCCATTTAGATTCAGGAAACTGTTCTTTAATATATTTTTTTAATAATTCTGTTTGCATTGCAGATGCTTTAATAAAATTACCTACCGATTTAATGGTACCAATACAATTACGAATATGTTGAATACTACACGAATGAGAGAGGGCTAAATTTAAAGAATGAGCACTGCAGTATACATAAAGTGCTGTTGGATACTTGGATGTACTTTTCGAATAATTGCTTGCACTCCGTTAAAATTATCGCTCATTGATGTCGTCCCGTCACATCCTTGCCTTACCATATACTTCGAATCTATACCAAGACATTTAATAGTTTCTAAAATAACATTGGCTATATTTTTGCCAGTAGTATTTTCTACTGACACAAATTTTAAAAAATCTCCCCGTAAAATGAATTGATGTTCAAGATCTTGATTGATTCACGATACATCAGTTGTCTTGTCTACTAAAATTGAAAATGATTTTGCCCTATTAATAGAATTCTATTTACTAAACGATCTTGTATTATTTTTCAGATGATAGTCATTAAATTATTTTGTAGGACTTAAATACATCCAGCGGACGATGGACACACTGCCTGCTCCCGGATGTGACGCGCTGGTTGAACAAACCACCACTAAACCTGACGTATCATCTCTCCCAGGCGCTAACCGGTCACGGTTGCTTCAAAAGCTACCTCCATAAGAGAGACCGGGCGGAGGACAGCTACTGCGTCTACTGCGTGGATCCCGACGACACAGTCGAGCATACGCTGTTCGCTTGTCCGAGATGGGAGGACGACCGCTCGCGCATGGTAGAAATCCTGCGAAGACCACCGGCGCCCGAAGACGTCGAGGAAATTCTGTACGGCCCCCGACCCGACGCATTACCAGATGACGCATCAGCCAGGCCCAGGCTACTCGCACAGGCACACACCAATCGGCTCGAGCTCATCGCCATGATCGAGTCAATCCTGGGGACCCACGATGAACAACTGGACAGACCCTCACACTTACCCGCTACCGCGAGTCGTCGGAGGTGTCACCGACCACGTTGTTCATCCCCCCACCTGTGACACCACGGGCGGGACGGCGATCACGGCATCGCAGCACAAAGGAGGAACGAGAATTCCAGGCCGGCGGACTCCGGTCGGCCCGCCAAAAGGACAGTACGAGCATCCAGAGCGGCGGACTCCGGTCGGCTCTCGAAAACGGCGATCAACCACCCACAACGTTAAACTGTAAACTTTATAAAATTGTAATGTCATGTTGAAAGAGGGGGGTAAGTCGGGGTACTGTCCCGTCTACCCCTCTCATGTATGTATAAATATTTGGTGTTGATTTGTCAAATAAACGATGGCGGCGTCGCGGAAGTATTGTGAAAGCAGTTCCCGCGACGCCGTCGGTTCAAAACTGGGAAAAAAAAAAAAAAGACTTAAATACATAACTTTAATTTCGCCGTTTTTAATGCGATCAGTCATCATTTTATCACTGACGTTCATTCGAATCCTCATAAGAGCTCTAAAAGTACCATCATTATGAATTTGCTCATCTAGTGTGAGTGGCCCAGCGTCAGATGTACCACGAAGGGCCAATTCTTGACGGCCACACAATATTAATAGTTTGAATAACATGGTATTAATTTTTTTTTTTTTCTGCAATTTGATTAGCACGTCTAATTAACAATCGATTTTTTGACAAATATCCAACTCTTTGTTGCAATAAACGGAAATAAAATGTTCTGCGATAAAAACATTATTTTTATGATACTCTGTGTTCATAACTCTGTGTTCAAACATTCGATTGCATTTTTCCATTTATTGAAAGGTTTTATAACCAATAAACCTGGTTTTTGATGTGCACCTTTACCGATAAAATTATGATAAAATATAGCACACTATTTACATACCGCTCCAGAATCTTGCATTTTAGTGTAACATAACCATGGAAATCGTTTAATCCAATTTAATTGAAATTTTAAATTTCTATTTCCCGACGTAGGAAACCTAAACTTTTCATCAGGCACCCAAACATTAGTAAGTAACTTATATTTTAATTTATCACTAACCTTTTGATTTAATCAGCAGCCAATATCAATAATATCATTTTTTTATTTTTTACAAAAATAATTTGTAAGAGAATTATTATGCTTACGATTTGACATTTTATTAAAATAATCAAATACAAAATTATACATAAATATTAGAGGGTTACACTAACACAGTGCGCACAAAGCTGATACTAATTTGTACTAAAATATTTGAACTGGTACTTATTTAATGTTCACGATAAAATTATTAATAGTGCTATAACTGTGTACTGACACCACAGATATATAAACATACTAGATAGCGGACGCGACCATTTACTTGATGTTATTAAATGTGTGTCGACGGCAGCCATTTGTCAAGACGGCAATGTTTACATTATGCAGAATTGATAACAAATGAGTAATCAAATCATAGAGAGGCCGTTCCATCTGAATATAAAAGAGCAAAGTGGGTCTATCTTACAGTGTACATACTTCTGGAAAAAAGAATATTGTAAAATATTTGGTTCATCGGTTACATATACTGTAATATGCTATCAGTGCTAAAATCATAATTCCTATGTGATACCAAATACTATAGATTAGAATACGGGAAGCTCTGTAGAAACCTGCTGGTGTCATAGCGCTCCAAAATATATGTGATTGCCTATTCAGCCCCTTTTTCCTTATCACTTTTATGTACTCGTTAACTAATACAAATAATTTGGCGCCATAAATCAACAATATAAAATAGGTATTAGAATATAGATTACTATTATATTATAATGAGTACAATATTGAATATATATTGGTACATATTTTGTTATATGCAAAATAATGAAACAATAATTATTAAATAACATAATATAATATCAATGATATCAGTATTACGATAGTTGATTATTTTTCTATACCTTACGAAATTATTCTAATAAAGTAATAATTATTATTAATGTAACAGACAACGGTTGTTGTGTATTTTTAAATTGTTTTTTTTTTATAATTTACATATTTAAAAATATTTGTTTACCATGGGAAGAAAACTTTGTGCTGTGCTTTCTTGTAATAATACAGGAAAAGAAAATCTTGGAATTTCATTCCATAGATTTCCAAGTGATCAAAACGTGTAATTTTTAAAGATTTTAACTTATTTTTAAATTTTAATTAAATTACAATCCTAATTTTTATAAAATTATTATTATAGATGTAGTCAATGAATGAAACTAACTCAAAATAATATAATTATTAATAGTTTTGAACAAAAGGGACTGGACTCAGTAAAATACAAAGTGATATGTTCAAAACACTTTACAAGTCAAGACTATTCAATTTGGAACGATGTTGGAAATATAATGTCTGTATATAATAGCTAGTTATTTTAAGATAATTGTATTTTATGTCCTTATTAGACAATAACAAGATTCAAATCAATAATTATTAATTATGCAGGTTATTGTATAAAGGTGCGATACCGTCATTAAATCTACCTACTTCTGTGTATTGTAACAATACTGTGTTGGATAAGCAGGATACAACATCAATTTGGTGTCCAAATGTTTTGAGTCCGTTATTAAAGAAAATGCTGAATAACACAAATCGTAATTAACAAGAGATCTTTAATGTCCTTAAAAATATATTATTACCAAATCAACAAAACAATATTCTTTTCAGTTGATGGTAGACTGTTCAGTCAACAACCAAAAGTATTAAGTCCAAAAGTTAATAAAATGTTAAGCAACATTTATGAAAACTTTGGTGATTACTTATAAATTAAATATAACTGTTTAAAAAATTTTAAATTAACAACTAATAATAATAATTTTCTTTAATAATCTTTTAACTTCAGATAAAAGTTTACAGCAACCTTAAGATACTTCCTGTAGTTTAATATCCGAGTCTTCAATTAGTTTAACAATTGACTCTGAAAATAATAAAATCAATGATGAAGATCTTGGCGGTAAATTTAACTAACTCTACTCAAGTTGAATATTTAAAAAAATTACTATTTTAACTAATTTTTTATTTTACATTTTAGTGTCTAATTTAGTCGATGAGAACACACCATATAGTGAATTAGTTCAACCTTCAAATGACGAAACAAGTAAATCATCTAATATTAAATACTTTTTAGTTTTATTATATGAAGCTTTGTGCTTTTATTAGAATGATAACTTCTAGATCTAGCTTAATATTCGCTTTCTTCTGTAACCTAAAACAACCATTTTGCCTAGTTTGCCCAGTTACCTATCCACTTGCCCGCCAAAGACTCCAAAAGCATGTTTCCTGGTCCTGAAATTAATGATAAGTAACTTCACGCCGCGCATTACGCTTAATATAACTTGTCGGAAAAATTTTAATTTTTACTACTGGTTTTTAAGTGAACTGTCTAAGCTTTATTAATTATTATATTTTGTTTATTTTTTACATCTATTTAATTCTCGTTTCATATAACACTGACAAAATGCCTACATTGTCTGTGAAGCACTATTTATAAACATTGATATTCATTCAATTAGTAATTTAGGTAAGTAACAATGATTATTTATTAATTAAAAATAATTAACTTGTTTATTTTATTTTGTATGCGTTTGAAAATTGTACATCAATATCATTTACACATCAATGAATCATGAGATAAACCTAACACGGATAAATGGATCAAAATGTATATAAACACTGCATTTCTTATGACTTAACAAATTAAATTGAAGACTCAAATTACTATGAAATATGAATATATTGTGTAATGGCTGTAACAGTTTTAATGATATTTTAATAAAGTACAATACTTGTTTGATTTATAGATTTATTTAATTTTTAATTTTTATGTTCCTTTGAACGGGGGAATAGCCAATATGTACAAGGTATAGTAAATGTCCTCAATTTGTATTATCTAACACCTACACTATAAGGTATAATTTATTTAAATACAACAGAAACATTATATAGAAAGAGTAATATGATATTATAGCTGATAGTGTTAACCTTTTTTACTCAAAATAATTTTATCCCTATATTTATATTGTTGCTGTTAATTATGAAGATACTAGTAAGGACTTTTCTTTATTGAATTTATACAATATTATGTTTATTGATTTCTTATTTTCCAATTTTCCGTGTCAGTTGATGTTAGATTAAGAAAAAAAAAACATTATTGTACCCAAGAAAGTAAATTTTAAGAATCTGTAGGTAGATAGATCTCATTATTTTAAGAGTGTCAATTCTTTTAAATACATATTCCTGTCTTTTCAATAACGTTATACTAAGCATACTAACAGAATATTTTATTTGACAATGTTTAGATTATCGCTTACGTGTCCATCATAATCCTCAATTATGTGACCAGGAAACTAAGAGATTAAGATTAAAAATTAGAACAATGCAAAAGTTAATAAACAAAAAGAATACTAGGATACAGTCATTAAAAAAAAAGAATCTTAACAAATTACAAATGAATAAAAATTTATTTCAAACTACTGTGAACAATAATTTTATTTTAAAAAACCAGTTAAAACTAGCTAATATAAACAAATATGGTCGTAGATATAAGGAAAATCAAAAATCATTTGCACTTGCATTATATTATAATTCCCCTAAGGCATATAATTTCATGCGCAAGTATTTATGTCTTCCAACAGTGAGATCACTTAGAAATTGGCTACAATCAATAGATGTTTCTTGTGGGGTAAACTCAAATGTTCTTGATGTTTTAAAAATAAAGTTTAAGGATGTTCCACCGAGTGAAAAGCTAATATCAATTATAATAGACGAGATGTCACTAAAAAAATTGATTTCTTATAACTCTCAAAATGATCAATTTAGTGGTTATGAAGACTTTGGTCCAGATCATGAGTTTGTTGATATGACAATGAATCGCATCTGTGACCAAGTATTAGTTGTTATGATTAAAGGTATAGTTAAACCTTGGAAACAAATACTTGGATATTTTTTTTCTAAAGGACCAGTATCTGGCTTTAGACTTAAAAACATTATGACTGATGTTATCAATAAGGTTAAAGATTGCTGGTTTTATTCCAAAAGTTATTATATGTGACCAAGGTATGAATAATATTGGTATGAGAAATTTATTTGGAGCCACACAAGAACAACCATTCATCAACTTCAATGATGAAAAAATGTATTTCTTTCATGACAGTCCACATTTAATTAAATCAGTGAGAAATAATCTGAAAAAATACAATTTTAGTTATGACAATGATTTTTGTAGTTGGTCAGATTTAGAAGATTTTTATAATTTAGACAAAAATAAAAAGCCAAGGTTAGCTCCTCGATTAAATAAAATTCACATGGATCTACCACCATTCTCACCAATGCGTGTTTGTTTAGCAACCCAAACATTAAGCCATTCTGTTAGTTCTGGTATGATGACTTTAATTTCACTGAATGAAATGAAAAGTTCAGCTATACATACAGCAAGATTTATAGAATTCTTTGATAATTTATTTGATGTTTTTAACAGTATAACACACAGTGAGGCAAAAACATTAAGAAAGCCATTAACTAAAACTTCTGATCATTGGAAATTTTTGAATGAAGCAGAACAGGTATTAGGAAAACTTAAAGTTCACAATAGAACTGGTAAATTACCACCGTGTATAGTAGGTTGGAGAGAAAATATTATTGCCTTGAAATTGTTATTTAAGGAACTAGATGAAAAATACAAAATAGATTTCTTATTAACAAGAAGACTAACACAAGACAGTGTAGAAAATGTGTTCTCAGTAGTAAGGTCAAGAGGAGGTAATAATGTCACACCTGATGCCACAAAATTTCATTCAGCAATCCGTATGTGTATGTGCAATACTTTGTTAGAACCCTCCAAAAGTGGAAATTGTGAATCTGAATGTGATGCAGTTCAGTTCTTGACTAAATGCAGTGAGCTAAAAAAAATTAAAATACAGCTAAAAGTAATAGGTGATCCAAATGATGATGAATATTCTGATAAAGAAGATTTTCTTAACTTACATTTATATTCAATGAATATTGAAAATATACTAATGGAGAATCATGAGGCTTGTGCGATAGGCTATGTAGCTGGATGGATGTGTAGCAAACTGATTCATCAAGAATGTGTAGATAAGCTAGCTGCCAAAAGTGAGGATAATTCTCAAGTCAACCTGGAAAATACACACATAGAAATGAAATCATATCAAAATGCCAATTTATTATATCCATTTAAAAACACACTGGAATTTGCAAAAAAAGTTACGTGTATATTTAATTTAAATATAGAGTCACTTTTGTTAAAAAATAAAACCGGTGTTCGAAAAGAAATTATAAAAATTGTTGATATTGTTTGTAAGCCATTAAATATATGTGATGCATGTAAGACCGAATTCTTGAAAAAATTGTTAAATGTATTAATAAATAGTTTCATAAAAAATAGCAATAATAACATTGATGTCTTCAAAATGCATTCAAAAAATTAAAAATTAAAAAAAATTGTTCATTTGTAAATCAATATTTATATAAATCAAATTGTATAATTTATATTCTTTAATTTTACCTATATTGTATTATATTATACACCTAATTATTAATTTAACATAATATTATATCATAATCATAAATATAAAAATATTGTTCATACATATTTTATAATGTTCTCATACCTAAGTTTTATTTCTTTTATTATTTTGTATTTGTACATTGTACATAATATTAAGACTTGTAATGATGGTATACACTATTATAAATATAAAGTAGGTACCTACATTTTTTTATATAGTTTTAATAATATTTTGTATTAATCTTTGTCACACATTTCTCACTGTATATAATTTTTAGTTAATAAAATCAATTTTTTGTGATAATTATATAATTATTTTTCCACAACTATCGATATCATTAAAATGTTTAAAACTTAAGACCTGTATAACCGTGTAGAACTGTACCAAATTATTGTAAAAACAATAAGCTAACCATCAAGTATTACCTACTCTATGAAATAAACCTTGTTTTAGTAATCCTGTGTCCATAATCCATACAGCCATACACTTGATACAGGTAATGATGTATTGCACGTTTTATTATAAACTATTTATATATTTTAATACTAACAACACTATAATATTAAGTTCCTAAAGGCTAATGGACTATTGAACTTAATTTAAAAATTAGAAAAAAGCTAAGTAGTTGTTCTTTTGTATTTGTTATAACTTATCAGTTATCACTTATCAGTGTCTAAAAAATATAAATAAAGGGGTTTATATAGGCAACCTACTATAATATGGAGCGCTACAGAGTCCCCTAGAAAATCTAAGAGCTTCCCGTATTCTAATCTATAGTATTTGGTGATACTATCAAGTATCAACTATATCAAATAATTATTTTAAATTTTAATAATCCTAAGGTTACATAGGCGCAATTTCAGTTTTTTACTTGGGGGGGCTATCCATATATAAACCAAACAGACCCGTGGGGGGCCCTGCCCCCCACACCCCCACATATATTATCTGTACAAAGTACAACATAATATATTTAGAATTTTTATCTAAACCCCTTTCCTATTATAAATTGTTCTCACTACTATAATTTAACTGAAAAATACATATCCCTAAGACCCTAACACACATTTATAATTACTATAGATAATAAAGAAATAACAAAATTACAAAATACTAATAAAAAAAATTTTATATTATTTGTTTATAGTTGTAATTTATGATCATTTTTTACAAATTCTTTTAATATTTTGTTACTATCTATTTCATTAGATATACTTCTTTCAATATAAATTACTGATAAGTTAGTGAAACGATCATGCTCCATAGAAGTGCGGAACCAATTTTTTATCCTGCGCATGGCCGAAAATGACCTCTCACACGATGCTGAACTTATTGGTATTGTGAGCGCTAATTGTACAAGTTTAAATAAATTTGGATAAACAACACGATTAACAACTTGTTTAAGACCATCAATGTTGATTTCATTTTCCTCATTTAATCTTAATAAACAGTTTTTTTTGATTTCACATTTTATAGCGTCAATATCAATGTTCAATAACTTCTAAAAATAATTTAATAGTTTTAAAATATTTAATTCAATATAACATGAAAATACATTTTATTTTTTATAGTTTTTTTCACTTACTTTATAATGTTCAATAAAACATGTGCTGTCATTAAAATTAAGTTTAAGGAAATTGTCTACTCCAATTGCTATATTAAGGCTTTCTGATGAAAATCTTTTTTCTAAGTTGGTAACTAGACTGTCAATTATTTGATAGTAAATTGTTCTCCAGTGATCTTCCATGCCATTTTCTGTTTGTTCAGTTTGAATTTTTTCAACACTAGTGGTAGTTGACAGATAAAAATCATTCAAATAACTAGGTTCTTTTCTTTTTCTTTTTGATCCTTATAATTGATTAAAAATAATTATTATTGGTAAATAACTTTTTGTTATTTAGTTAAATTCTTTTTGAAATAAAGTAGCATTCGAATAAATGAAAGTAATTGTAGCACCAGCATTATGAAATTCATCAATTTTAAGTTTGTCTTTACAAAACCTCAACGCATCTGCCACAGATTGGCTAAGTAACTGTGTCGCTATTTTTACTTTCATCTTCTGTTTAAAGTAAAAAATATATTGCTTTCTAATTTATTAGCAAGATGGCACCCTTCCTTCTCCTGCAAAAAACATACATTTTGGACATACTCAAAATTAATTTCATTGTTTTCAAAATCTAAAAATGTCTTCTTCTCACCAAATGTATTTCTAATCAACTTAATCATATGCGCAGGATCAAAAAGCGTTACAATATTTTCATTGTTTGTACAGCCAGAAGGAAAAGCAATTTTTAAATCATTAATATCATAATTATAACCTAAAAGCTGTGCAGCAGTTACATTACTTGAGCATCCATCAATAGTTAAGCTTATAGTTATAACACCAGTTTTATTTAATTCATGTATAGCATGTCGAATTAGTCCAACTTTTTGTTCGCTATTTAAGCTTTTAGCTAAGAAATAACCAATAGGCAATTTCCAATTTTCATTTACTGAAACTACTAAAAAAACCAAAGATTCCTTTGCTATTTCTAAGCTATCGCTGTTCATTCCCGTTCCTATGTCTACTCTACCAAAATAATTACTTCCATCATATTCTAAATGTTGCCGTTTAGCCATTTCATCAATTACCAAAGCAACAAAAATTGGATGAGGTGAATTTTTCACTTTCAACGATAATAGTTTGATTCATCAGTAAATCCTGGCTCTGCATTAACATGCCTGCACCACTTATTTAGTGTGCGAGGATGTGGCAGGATAGTATTAAATTGTTTGCGTACATATTAATATGCTTTTACTGAAAAAAAATGAAGCGACAAAGCAAACTGTCTGACAGTAGGACTATATTTTTTTTCCAAAATTCTTTTTGTTCCAATTAGTAATAAGGTCTTTATGCTTACCAAAAGACTCGAATAATGAAAGACTACTCTCTTCATTAATGAGATTTTGATTTTTGATTTCATTAATGATAAACTCCAAGGAAGCTATTTTCTTTTTTTGTCGTCTTACAGTTTGTAGGAGGCTCTTTAAATTTTTGTTTTTTATGGAGACTTCTGTAGATAGTGCTCGAATACCACGCTTTAAGAACAGCCGTCGTGGGGTATCGTCTTTAGTCACTTTACTGGCAGCTACTAATGAAGATGTATATGACTCATCCAACAGTGACTCACTTTTCATGCTATTGTTACTATAATACAACTGTAACACCAAAATGAATTTTAACAATATTAATTCTAAAATAATAATTGTAATATACATCAACACATTTTGTTAATACTACAGATGCTTTATTGAATGTTTTAGATGGCTTAGGATTATTTCCACTTAATACTTCAGCTGGAATCGGTTTATCCAATATTGGCTCACTTCCCATGCTATTGTTACTATAAGACAACTGTAAAACCAAAATTAATTTTAACAATATTTATTCTAAACTAATTGTAATATAAACCAATTTTCACGTAAGAAAAATGTTAACATTTCAAACATAAAATAATAGAACTACTTTCAATAACAAACGAATATGGTATCAACACATTTTGTTAATACTACCGAGACTTTGTTGAATGTTTTAGATGGCTCAAGAATATTTCCACTTAATACTTCAGCTGGGATCGGTTTATCTAAAGGTAAAACACCTTCCATAGTAGTAGTGGTACAAGACAACTGAAAAAAACAGGTTACTCATCAATAAATAACATAAATATTTTTATTCTAAAATTATTATTCATTTTTGTTAAAATTCAAAAAATAATAATTAATTGTATACTTCCTATTGTATGTTTTCTAGTTTAAACATAGTATGCATTAATACAACATTGTTGAATATAATAAATAGTGAGGGTAGGTACCTATTATCAATTATCAGATATACTTAATGCATAAACAAATACTAACCTTAACCAAGTTCGACCAAAAATTAAAATGTTTGAAGAACTATTTGGTTTTGTTAAATCACATGGTAAAGATACTGTAGTCAAGGTTTCAGGATAGAATTGTTTTGCCTAAAACAATACATGACAAATCATTTATGTAGGTAATTAAAAATTTAATATTATAGGTTTATTGAGTATTACTCTACAAAGTTCACTTACTCTTTTTATTCTATTAACGATTATTGATGGACAACTATTTTTCTTCAACAATTTTCTGCTTTTGTCCAACACAAAACATGATGCTTCAATATGAAGGGAACAAACCAAACTTTTCTTTTTTACATGTTTAGGACTTAAAGCATTTTCAAATAAAAATGTGTACCATTTTAGATATTCACTTTCTTTAGATGGAAATCTATAATAGAACAAATATTGTTGAAGTACCTATTTACAAATCCTTTTTTAAAATCAAGATTAATTTTTAAAATCATACTTGTGAAAAGTTATATTTGATTCCTTGGAGATTTTATTCTCTGTTCTTCCACAAATAATACAGCTAGCCATGTTTTTGCAGAACAATGGCAAAATAATTAAATACAAATCAAAAGGGCAAAGGCTCAAATTGAAAATCGTAACATACAATTAGTCACAAGACAAAGTTTTTCAGCCGCGGTTTTTCCGCAATATACTAATGGTTTTTATCATAGATTTTACTCTATGGTACAGCCAACACAAATATAATCGTACCAAATATTGTACAATATTTTTTTCTTCAAAAGTAATGGTACTGTAAAATAGACTCCGTTTGGGCTTCAATCCGTTGTACAGAAAGATATTGGGAACGGCCTCTCTATAATACTCTATGAATCAAATTAATGAACATTTTGTTTGTATTTTTTGATTTAAAATTATAAAATATATCAAAATTCAAAGGTACCTATTTAAGTAGTAGGTGAACACCAGATAATTTTATAACATTATAAAAAATATTTATTATTTCATTTATATATAATGGTTTTTACTTGCTCTGCTCATGGATGTTCAAATAGACAAATTCCTGGTTCGAATATCCATTTTTTTTTTTTTCGGAAGTTGATATTTACTATTGAAATTTCCATACTATTTAATATTTATATTATAAACTCGTGTTTTTGTTATTCTTATTTATAATATAAATGTAATGTATGTACAGTTTTCCATTAAAGAATCCATCGAGAAATCAGCTATGGATTTAAGCTGTTGCGAGCAAAGGTTTTGTTCCTAATAAATATAGTAAGCTGTGTAGTGTTCACTTTAATCGAAATTGTTTTTACGATCAATCTGGATGAAGTTACAGACTTCGATTAAATGATTAAACAGTTCCTACTATTTTTACAAAATAATTATAATCTGCTTATAGAATATCGCTAAAGGCTCGCAAATTGGATTTTGTTGAAAAAGTGAACAAAAACTCTGACGGTAAGAAAATATTTTAGCCAGCGTTAATATGTTTTTAAATGTTACATTATTCTATACTTAATTTATCAAATTTATTTTATTTGATTACTGTACCATTACTTATTACACCATCAAAAAGTAAAAATCCTGTTTATGTAATTTCATCTCCAAAAACAAAATTAAATTACACATCTCGTTTTTGGAATTTGAAAACAAAAAATATGATGAGAAAAATGTTGGTTTAATCATAATGTAAATAATAGTAAAGTATATTTTATACCTGATGCGTGCCACACTTTTAAATTGGCACGTAATACATTAGGAAATTGTAGAACATTGGAATCTGACAATGGGTATACCGTGTGTTCAATTTTAAAGGTAACAGGAAATATTTCGATCGTATGACCTTGAATTTGATTCGGGGTTTTTATACTGCATATAGGACTTATAAATACATATTTTTTTTTTTTTATTAGCGCATGCGCAGTAAAATAAAAATTTCTTAAATAGCAACCACTATTTTGGAGACCTGATTTCGATTTCTTTATTTTTTCTGAACAACTTTGATCTTTACAGTTTGTTGATATCTTCAAAATTTCCATGTTTATGACGGTCGGAAGTTTTAAAATAGTTAATTCGTAAATAATTGTGTGGTGGATGATATCTCTCGGGATATCGTTCAGCATAAAGTGCCGCTGCGTTACGCGAATTTTGATGACATTCTCCAAAAATTAATACCATATCGGTTTTTTCGGAATAGTTTGCCATTGTACAGAAAATTATGTGTCACGCGCGACTTACGAAAAACGTTTGACTATTCACAATCAATTTTAGAATGCTATCAATATATCTTATTCACACAGGTTAATAGTATAACTTTCATTATAATACTGTGGCGCGCGTAGGTTCGAAGTGATGTTCACGTAACTTACGCGGCCAACATACGAAAGGAGTTTTTAAATAAATACTCTCGGGTTGGTTTTCGAGTAGACGGTATATTTATTTCAAATCGGACGTGAGTTAACAGGTTCGGTTAGCCAGTGGCGAAAACGTCGGCGGGTTAGTGGGCGGCGTCGTGCGAGTCCGTTGACGGTTGCGGAACGAGAGCGTGAGGGAGTGTTGGCAGCCGCCCGACACTTCGCGGTCGCGAACGACGCGGAGGGCCGAGCGGTGTTGCCAACACAGGGAGCGCGACCGACATAGGGAGGGAGTATGTGGTGAAAGCACTGGTTCGCCACATTACTCCCCCCTTTAAAAAAAGAAAAATATTTACAGATTTTTTTTTTGGTTTAACAATGTAAGAGAGCCGATGAAAAATAAAGTTGAGCTGTTGACGAAGATGGAAGGTTGACGGTGGTTGAAATGTTGACGAAGATGGAAGGTTGACGGTGGTTGAAATGTTGACGGAAGTTGAAATTGCAGGTGAAGCCGGAAAATGCAAGTGGAATGTAATGTAGACTGCCGGAAAGTTGAATGATGAGTTGATGGTGAAGCTGAATTTTGATGAGGCGAGAAACCGATCGCGCGATGAGCGCGAACTCTTAGCCGCCGTGTACCCGTGCCAGTACTTACACGCGCTACGTGGGCTGGTGCTGACGGCTGTGCCATCGGTAGCAACGGCGCGCGTGCGTTCGGCGCAGGCGGGTGGTGGGCGTTTCGGATGAGGCGCGGTGCTGCGCGAAATGCGGTTCCCCTCGACGGCGGTCTCGAAGATGACGGTTCGCCAACCGTCCAACTGCGATCGTACTCACGCGCGCGTCTCAATGCAGCGATCCTGCGGGGTGCGGAGACGTGCGCGCTTTCTGCTCAAACGGAAGGACGGCGGCTCGCCAGCCGTTTAACTGCGATCGTACTCACGCGTGCGTCTCGATGCAGCGATCCTGCGGGGTGTGGAGACGTACATGCTTTCTGCTCAAACGGAAAGACGGCGGGCGAGTGTATCTTGAGACGAAAATTTTGAGTGGTTGTTGATTGAATTGAATTGTTTTGAGTTTCGAGATGCTTGGGGAGAAATTTGGATGCGTGGCCGAAAGAAGAAGTGATGCAGATTTTTGAGGTGTAGCCGAGTCGATTGATGCTGAATTTAGAAGTGTGATTTGAATTTTGAATGAAGGTGGTGGAGTTGAAAAAAGAATAAAAAGAAAGTGGCGTAAGGCCGAAGCTTATGGCTTGATATTACTTGCCGACGTGTGCATGTCGCAAGGCAGTCGACAGCTCTTTGCCTTCGCGCCGTAAAGCTTGTGGTAATAGCACGTGGTGTTCGTCTTCGTGGCCGGCGGTGACGGTGCGACCGCGGCGATGGGCACCATCAATTTTTTTAGTCGCTCGACCTCGATTGTGAGGTGTGCGACTTGAAGGTTTAGTCGCTGGACCTGTTCGCTTAAATCGAGTGCGGGTTCCCGCGATGCTGGCGCGAAAGCGACCGGGTTGAGACGCTGCCACCAGCTCGCCGGTTTGGGCGCCGGTGTATCGTGCTCGTCGTTAAGGTTGCTCGTCATGGCGCGTTTCGCGGGACGAGGATGCGCAAGGTCGAGCGAAGTGTCTTGCTCGTGGGAGCTTGGCGCGTGTTCGGCACAAGTAACTTGTGCGTCGTTGGAGCACGTGTTCCGCGTGCGCGTTCGTTTTTGCGAGGTCACCAATGTGGCGCGCGTAGGTTCGAAGTGATGTTCACGTAACTTACGCGGCCAACATACAAAAGGAGTTTTGAAATAAATACGCTCGGGTTGGTTTTCGAGTAGACGGTATATTTATTTCAAGTCAGACGTGAGTTAACAGGTTCGGTTAGCCAGTGGCGAAAACGTCGGCGTGTTCGTGGGCGGCGTCGTGCGAGTCCGTTGACGGTTGCGAAACGAGAGCGTGAGAGAGTGTTGGCAGCCGCCCGACACTTCGCGGTCGCGAACGACGCGGAAGGCCGAGCGGTGTTGCCAACACAGGGAGCGCGACCGACATAGGGAGGGAGTATGTGGTGAAAGCACTGGTTCGCCACAATACTATTAAAAACAAATTAAGATAATAGTAGTAGATAATTTAGTAGTTTTAATAAAAATAAATTGTTATAATAATACCTATAAATACCTATAAATTAAGATAGACCGTTGAAAAATGTAATATTTACAAATTAACTATTTTAAAACTTCCGACCGTCATAAACATGGCAATTTTGAAGATATCAACAAACTGTAAAGATCAAAGTTGTTCAGAAAAAATAAAGAAATCGAAATCAGGTCTCCAAAATAGTGGTTGCTATTTAAGAAATTTTTATTTTACTGCGGATGCGCTGATAAAAAAAAATTAAAAATTTGAATTCATTAAAAAAATATGTATTTATAAGTCCTAAATGCAGTATAAAAACCCCGATTCAAATTCAATGTCACACGATCGAAATATTTCCTGTTACCTTTAAAATTGAACACACGGTATACGATAGGGACACATTTATTAACTTCACAAAGTAAAAAATGAATTGACTTTCAAATTTAGAAATAAGTTAAGTATGTCACACATTAATTGGCAAAATAACAAGATGAAGGTAAAGTTTGCAGCTCAAACCTTAAGTGCATCAACTGGTGATCCTTTAGAATTTCTTAAAAAAAATTGATTTTCCAAATTTCTCTAATGTAGATGCTACCATAGAATACTTATTTTCTAAACTCAAAAAGCTGTTTTTCAAAAGGGTTTAAGTCTCCAATTTCTAAAAATAATATAGATGTATTAAAAAGTATTATACTACTATTGGTTGATTATTTATATACATTGAAATTTAAAGATAATTTTGTACATAAATCAAATAAAAAAACATTTATAATTGGGTTTACCAGAGCAATTAAGTCTATGTTTTCTATTGCCGAAACAATATTTTCTATACAGTATTCATCGATGAACTTCTCTTATATATTAACTTATACATTTTCACAAGACCATTTAGAGATTCTATTTGATCAAATCCGACAGAGATTAGGATCAAATAACAACCCAAATGTAGTTCAGTTTAAAACTGCCATAAAACAAATACTTTTAAAAAATTATATTAAGGGTAAATCTAATGGGAATTGCAATACCTTTGATAATGATATAAAAGGGGGTATTTTAGATTTTAAATGGAGTAAAAAAGTTGTTAATGTTTATGAAGATAATTTTTCTCAAAATCAAGACGATGAAGAATTAATAGATCAAATGTCTGTATTGAATAATCTGAGTGCTAATATGAAAGAAGCAAAAAACAATATTATTTATTATATTTTAGGCTATATTATAAAACAAATAATAAAAACACTTGAATGTGAGTCGTGTAAACAATGTCTTTTTAAAGATATTACAGATCACGACTATAGTAATGTACATTCATATACAGGATTCACAATATTAAAAAATAAAGGTGGTTTGATCAGGGGGGGGGTTGAACCCCTAACCCCCCCCCCCCCACTCATTTACGGCTTTGTCAAAATATATGCATTTTGGTAACACATAGGTAATATGAATACTAGTATTAAACTCAATATCAACATATTACGAATTGTACTTAAAATCAATATATTAATTAAAAATTACTAATTATTATTTGTCAAGTGTAACACTTTGAAAGCATTATGTATAATTTAGTGAATTAACTTACATTTTTCATATATTATATTTTTTTATTATAGGAAATTTAAAAATGACAATATTTAATAATATTAATAATTGTATTTGGTAAAAATAAAGTATTTAAATACATGCATACAAATAATTTAGGGCATAGAATTCATTATGCAATGAAAAAATTTTGAATTTTATTCCTCAAATCATGATATATTTTCAATTTTCTATGTCTTTGGTGTACAAAAGAATTCGTTTATCGAACTCTTTAGGACATAAGCGCTCCCGGTGGTGATGACTATCTGTAGTAAAATGTTCAAACCACGAATTAAGATATACAGGATACACAACGAGAGCCTGTTATCAACAAATTATTGTTTCTGACGATTCTTGTTCATCGAATTGACACAGAGCGCTAATACTAATCAGTGGCAAAGTTTTGAACTAATCCAAATTTATAAATATTTATAAATATTGGCATTTTGGCGGTATTTATTTTTTACTTTTTTCTTGTTATTAATTTAATTTGGTTCTTGATAAGCTATAAGAGGTATGCAATTTGTGTTTTTGAGTTCTTTTTCAGTGTCTAGACCAGTGGTTCTCAATTTTTTTTGTACGACGACACCTTAATTTAGATCCATAAAAATGGCGACACACTTAAAATTTTTTTTATGGATTTTTGAAAAAGTAAAAATTACAAATCTATGTAAATTAATACATTTAAGTTCATGTTAGCATTTTATTTGAAAAAAAACAAATCTTTTAAATTTACATTATTAAAATATAAACAATTTAAATTAGGTATTAAAAAAATATTATTATAAAAACAGCGTTAGTTTATAATGGAAATTAGTGCGATACTTGTGATTGGCGAATTGAACATAGGTCTTCAATTCGTGGGCGAATTGTTGACAAAACTTACGCGTAATTCACTTTCAATATCTTTAAGCGTTGACCTTTTTTTGGTTTTTGTTACTTCTAATATCGAAAATGCTGATTCACACATATATGATGTTGAAAAAGGAAGCAAAATTTGCAACGCTTTTTTGCTCACTTCTGGGTATTCGTTTTGCAAAGAAATCCAAAATGAATCATTTTCAGACATATAAAATTTAGATTTTAACGTGGTATCTGATGATATTTCTAGTAATTGTTCTTTTTCCGTAGAAGATAAGTTTGCATTTTTTATATTTTCTTCTCCACATGGACCATATAATGAAACTACCCACTGTATTTCAGTTGTTAGAAGTGATGGAAAATAACTCTTTAAATTTCGAGAAAGTGTCAATAAATGATCGTACATTATATTTTTTAATTCCGTTTTTTGATTTATGCTTAAATGGATTTTTGATTCTTCAACTGAAGAAAAGCATGAAAAATCATCATTTTTTATGCATGATAACCATAAATTAATTTTTTTTTTTGAAACTTTCCATTTTATCACTTGTTGAAATTATGTTTTCTTTACGACCTTGCATACTCGAATTTAAAACATTTAGTTTTTGAAAAATATCAGCAAGGTAAGCTAATTTAGCACACCACATTTGATCATCAATTTTATTTGTATAATTATTTATGTTTTCAGCTTCAAAAAAAATTTGTAATTGATCTTGAAGTTCCAATACACGATTTAATATTTTACCCCTAGAAAGCTAACGTATTTCAGTATGATACAACAAAGTAGTGTGTTCTGTACCGATATTTTTACATAATTCTTCAAATATTCTACATTTTACTGGTCATTTTTTAATATAGTTAATCATTTCAATGACAGTTTTGAGAACATCACTTAATTCTCCCCCATCCGAACTTTTTACCATAAGAGCTTCACGGTGTAAAAAACAGTGAATTGTTATTAAATTAGGTTTTTTATTTTTCGCGAGAGTCAGAAATCCTTTGAATCGGCCAGTCATCGCCGCTGCACCATCTGTGCAAATTGAAATGCAGTTCGACCATACCATATTATTTTCTTCGAAATAATTATCAACAACATTGAAAATATCAACTCCAGTTGTTGTAGTTTGCAATTCACTGCAAAATAAAAATTGTTCAATTATTTTTTCCTCATTGACAAATCGTATGAAAGAAATTAATTGAGATTTACCAGAAACATCGGTACTTTCATCAAGTTGTAATGCGAATTCTTTATCTTTTTGTAATATCTCATTTACATTTTTTACAATATCCTCCGACATTGTTATTATTCTTCGACGAACAGTATCATTTGACAGTGGTATGTTTGAAATTTGTTCAGCTGCTTCTTTACCAAACATGACATCAACAATTTCTTTACAAGCTGGTAAAATCAATTCTTCTCCGATGGTATGTGGTTTTTTTTTCTTTGCAATTAACTCAGAAATTTTAAAAGAACATAAAAGAGATTTATCAGATATTTTTAAACGTTTTTCCATGAACGTTGAATTTTTTTTTTGTGATGACAATAAACGCGTAAAATAGTCAGAACTTTTTTACTAATATGACTATGATTTTGATCTAAATGTCTTTTTAATTTATTTGGTACCACTTATTTGGTACCACTCGTTTGATAAAGTTACGCCACATACAATACACTGAGGTATTTGATTATTATCATCACCAATAAACGTAAATCCGAAATTTAAATAGTTGTCTTTATACTTACGACGCTTTACTGTTTTATCATTAATTGTTGATGAAGACGGTAACGTCTAGAGATGGAAAGTTTAGTTCATTTTTGTGAATAGTTCATTAGTTCACAGTTCATTAATGTGAATAGTTCAAATGAACTATTCTTCAGTTCACATAGTTCATTAGTTGTATGGATCATACAGAAACTGATATGGTTTGGCAATGAACTGAATAGACTATTAGACTAATGAAATAATGAACTATTCGTCTACTAGTAAAATCCTGAAAACAGCTGTTTACAATCATAATAAATATGATACGATTACATAAATATCAGTATCATTATTAAAAATATTTATTACAATTATCACTATTATCATAGGTATTACGTAGTAGGTACCAAAATGAGTAAAAGTTTAAAATCAAGTATCAACTATACCTACCTATTGGCTATCTAGCATCTAGATGTTTGAGTGTTTGACCTATGTGGGAATTAAACATTAATTAATTAACTTCTTTGTCTATAAAAGTTATTATTACTAATAATAAACTGACTTTGAGACCTCTATAGTCTATACTCTATAGGAACCCAGTACACTTGTTAATAAATTAAAACCAAATTTGAAAATTGAATACACCTCTTAAATTAATAATTTCTTACCTAGTAAAATAATTACATTAATTTATGATTTAATAAACAACTGTTAGGTTGTGGCTAATTACCAAATAATAAAGTATTTCAAAATTCTAATACATGGCAAATATTTGTATATTAAGTTTAAAAATATGTTGCAGAAAAAAATGCAAATTAGTGTAGGTACAATTAAAGATGAAATTATTGACAATTAAGAATCATTAATTCAATAATAAATTATTTGAACATAATATATAAGATAGCGGATACTGGATAGTGGATATAGGTACTTAATTATAAAATACAATAAGACATACAATTATTTTTATGCAATAAATATATTTCTTTATTTTCTTTGTATGATACATTTTTTTACCTAGCTCATACTATTACTTACTAACACAATAATTAATTACAATAGTTATTAAAATAAAACAAGAAGAAATGGCGAAGAGGAATCTTAAAAGGTTTTTTTAAAAGTATAATTTTTAATATTTTTGTTTACCACATTATTTGTTTGTCTTTTGTTAGTTACATTCAATAAATACTTCAAATTTTATGCTATTGTGTTGTTATTACTTTTATTATTTAATAAAAAATTACATCCCTAATCCCTATGTTCATTAATTATGTGAGAAGTGGCAACATTTTGAAGATGACCAAATTGGTATTCTGTTAAATTTTTATTTTATATAAGTAAAGAAATTAAAACAAATATGTTTTTTTCAAACGATAATGATAATCTTATATAATAAGATTGGTAATATAACTTTTCAAACAATAGAGTGGTAATAATATTGTAAAATGACAAGTTTAGACATGTAAAATCATGCACACATTTGAAACCATACCCAGTATAACTATAGTCTTTTTATGACTGTATGCACTAATATACTACCTAATAATTATTACAGTATCTGCATTTGCATTTAACAGTGAACAGTGTTTATTTTATTGAGCGTAGTGAATTTTCCAGATTTAAATAATTTTAATTAAAAGTACATTTTATAAATTGTTAATAATGGCCCCACGTAAAAGGAGTGATATATGGAATCACTTTACTGAATTAGAAGATAATAAAGCCAAATGTGGGTATTGCAGTAACAAGTACAGTGTTGCTGGTGGATCTTTTGGCAATTTGAGACGCCACTTAAAAACTGTACATCCCGCTGTAATAATATCAAAAGCAGTAGTGACTAGTGATGAAAGTCATGTAGATGATCCTGCAGATGATGGTATTTTTTAATAAATTGTTCTGTACTATTATTTTTCTTTTATTAATTTTAAATTCACTATCATTAAAACCCTTTATGTTATTTTAAATGAATAACTGAGCACGTTCACCAGTAGAAACATTGATTGTTCCTGGTACTAGCGGTGTTAAACCAAGCCAACCTACTCAAAAACAAAGTAGCATTATGCATTTTATGCAAAATAAGAAACCTATGGCAGTCAGTAGATCAAAACAAATTGATGAGCAGGTTACAAAAATGATTGTTAAAGGGTAATTACATATTTTTATTTTTAGTTATATTAAAATTATTAATACAATAAAATTTGTCTAGAAACAAAAAGAAAATCAATAATTATATTTTAGTTTAATATTATATTTTGAATTCCTACATATAACTAAAATAATACAATAAGATGTTTACTGGCTTTAAAAATTTTTAATACTCTTAAATACATTTAAAATCTATATATTTATACACGTACGCATTTTCTGAAAGTTTTTTTCTAGTATAAATAAGATTGTATTAGCTAATAGATTTCAATGCCACTGTTTCAATTTTTTTTTTATTTTATGATCTAGATACTATGCGTTTTCTATAGTGGACGATAAGGAATTTCGAAAATTCGTAAAAATGTTGAACCCTGGATACGAGCTTCCTTGTCGCCAGACAGTATCTAAAAATCTAGTTCCAAGATTATACAATTCCACATTAGAAAATTTTAAAAAAAAAGTTGAAACTGCAAGGGCAGTTTCATTAACAACAGATGGATGGACTTGTATAAATAATAGGAGCTATATTGCAGTCACAGCTCATTTTATTGATGGTGACGGTACATTGTGTTCCGTTTGTCTTGGTTGCGAATATTTTGACCAACGGCACACGTCAGATAATTTAGCTGCCTTTTTAAAAAAAATAGCAACTGAATGGAAATTGAATAATAAAGTTGTAGCCATTGTTACCGATAATGCTTCAAATATTACTAAAGCTGTAGGTCAATTACATTATCGACATATAGGATGTTTTGCCCATTCCATTAATCTTGTTGTTCAACACTCTCTTGAGAATATTTCGGTTATAGTATCTAAAGTAAAAAAAATTGTTGAATTTTTTAAACGTAGTAGTAATGCATTAGTAAAACTTAATTCAACTCAATCTCAAATGGGTCTACCTACGTTGAAATTAAAACAAAACTGTGTGACCAGATGGAATTCGACATTTGATATGTTGAAGAGAATTGTTTCCATCAAAGATGCTGTAATTTCAACTTTAGCTGTGTTACAAACCGAAATTGCAGTTTTAACTCCAGCTGAATGGGATATAGTTGAAAAGGCCATTGGTGTACTGCAAATTTTTAATGAAGTCACCATCGAAGTCAGTTCGGAAAAAACAGTGTCTGTGTCAAAGGTAATAGTTTTAGTTAGTTCTATGTTCCAGACTATAGAAACTTATGTTCATGATATATCTTTGCCGTATGAAGTAAACCAAATGGCCATTTCTCTGAAAAATCAATTGAGGAAAAGGTTTAGTGACAGCGAGGAAAATGAAATAATGGCACAAGCCTCAATTTTAGATCCGAGATTTAAAAAATATGGCTTTATGAGTGATAACAAATTTAAAAATGCTTTTTCTCTTTTGAGATCACGTTTAGGAAATATTCGCTTACCATCAAATCAAATAGACAATGCTGAACAAACACCTTCCATATCAACTCCATCTCCATCTCCTCCAGTAGGTATCTCTGTTGTGGAAAGTCTATGAAGAAAAGGTAGAACAATTCAAAGCCACTCAGACATCAACAGCATCCGGAATAATAGAATTGGATAGATATATGCAAGAGCCATTAATAGATCGGCATGAGGATCCTTTGAAATGGTGGCATGAACGAAAACATATATGATGTGTGATCAAAAAATACCGGGACTAAAATTATATCTGCGCTAAAAATAATCGAATGGGGAATATACACACATCAAATAAAAATAGAGATAAACCTCAATTACGTTATTCAAGCCATGAGTTAATATTAACTGTTAGTAATGAACGAAAATTCATTGAAATCAGATACTTTTAATGTGTGTGCCGTTTTTGTCATGTCGAATAAACTCGAGCAGCGTGTTTGCATTAAATTTTGCGTTAAACTCGGTAAATCAGCGACTGAAACTTTTGAAATGATTAAAAAAGCATTTGAAGATGAAGCGATGAGCCGGTCTAAAACATTTGAATGGCATAAAAGGTTTATTGTGGGTCGTGAAGACATTAATGATGACTCTCGTGCTGGACGACCTTCAACATCAAGAAATGTGGAAATGGTGGCAAAAGTACGAAAAATTATTCGATCAGATCGACGAATGACGATAAGAGAACTTTCTACTGAGTGTAACATTTCTTTTGGATCATGTCAAACTATTTTGACTGAAGATTTAGGCATGAGACGAGTCTGTGCAAAAATGGTCCCAAAATTGTTGTCTCAAGATCAAAAAAATCATCGAATTGAAGTTTGTCAAAATTTGAAAGAACGAACACAAAATGACCCAGGGTTCATTAAAAATGTAATAACTGGTGATGAAACTTGGGTCTATGGTTATGACATAGAAACTAAACGACAGTCATCACAATGGAAATCAGTAACTTCACCAAGACCCAAAAAAGCTCGACAAGTTCGTTCTAACGTGAAGACCATGTTGATTACTTTTTTCGATATTAAAGGCCTTATTTATTACGAATTTGTTCCAACTGGTCAAACGGTTAATCAGACTTACTACAAAGAAGTTTTAATTAAATTACGAGAAAAAATCCGTAAGAAACGTCCAGATCAATTCCAAAATCGATCGTGGTTGTTACACCACGACAACGCGCCTGCTCATTCTGCCTTATCAATCCGTGAGTTTCTAGCTGATAAACAAATTCCAGTTGTACCTCATCCCCCTTACTCGCCAGACCTCGCCCCTTGTGATTTTTTTTTATTTCCAAAAATTAAAACTGACCTCAAAGGACAAAGATTTGATGATATTGAAACAATAAAAAAGAATGCGGTGGATCAACTCAAACAACTTAAAGTTGAAGACTTCCAACACTGCTTCAAAAAGTGGCAGGAGAGATGGGACAAGTGTATAACATCGGGCGGTGAATACTTTGAAGGAGACTAATATTTGAAATATTATTTGTACATTTAAATAAATGAAAAAAAAAAAATCCCGGTATTTTTTGATCACACCTCGTATATCCTCATCTACATACATTTGTCATTAAGCGACTCTGTGTGACTGCAACTAGTGTTCCTTGTGAAAGGATATTTTCAGAAGCTGGCCAGATTATTACGTTAAAGAGAAACCACTTGGATACAAAAAAAGCATCACAACTTATATTCTTGCATAATAATTTATAAGAAATGTATTTTTGTAGAAAACTAAATTTGTCTATAGCATTCTTTTAGAATTTTAATATGAGATGTTTTATTAATTAAATAATAATAAAAAGTTAAAAATATTTTCTATGTAGAAAATAGAAATAAATCAACAGAAAATCATTTTTATTATGAAAGTAATAGGTATTTACAAAATTTACTTGATTGGTATCCACTATCCAGTATCCACAATTTAATTTTTCTTAGTGTGTTCACTGTGTTATTAATTATTATTTAAAGTAGTAGTAGTAACGCGGTGTGGACTGTTGACTAACTAGTAACTATTAATTAAGTTCAATCCACAGATATATAATATTATAATATATATTATACTATTATAGTAACAATTATAATAATAATATATACCTACCTAATATCTATTATCTATATATTTTATTTCTAATATATTATTTTATCTGATTGTGAACAGCTGTTTTCAGGATTTCGAATTTTCGTACCAGTGATAAAACCTATTTACATGAACAAGGTAGTAGGTACCTTACTATCTAGTTCATTATAATATTGTTCTATGATAATATTCCGATCTGATCACAGCAGCTGAAGTTCATAAAACGTTCACGAACTATATTATTAAAACAATGCTACCAATTTTTTTTTTGAACTGTGAACTGTTAAGTTACAGGTACTGAAACAGTTCAGAATAGTTCAGAATAGTTCATCAAAGTGAATAGTTCAAATGAACTATTCGTTCACGAACTTAACATCTCTAGTAACGTCAAATCAGTGGAGCCATCAGTGCTCGTGTTAACCGAAGTTGAAACTTTTTTAATTATAAATTTGTCCATGCTTAATGTACCTTTTTTAATACGGTATGTATAAGAAAATATGAAAATATAACGAAATTACACAGACACAACGCGCACAACACGGTGATCACGAATGAGAATAGTGAGAACGTGCTTATTTACGTACCTACCTATAAAACACATAATCCCAATTTACTATTTATCAGTTATGATTACGTCGAAATCATTACGAGGTAAGAATATCTTCATAATTGTTTTTCTTATCTCTGGGTTTTACTATTTCATCATAATGCTGAAATAATATCATATATGTCAAATGAAACTATATGTAATATATTAATATATAAATAATATACTTTGGCGACACACACCACGGTAATACGGGACACACTAGTGTGTCGCGACACACCGGTTGAGAACCACGGGTCTAGACTAATAGATATTACTATATTTTTAATACTTCTTAAAAAAAAGGTAGGTAACTAATTAATATTAGTATGTCTGCTAAATGTTGCGTACCAAATTGCCAGTCATTGGCAAAATCAAGATTTGGTGTCCCAAAAAATTCTATTATTGTCTGGGAGAGGGAGATTGGTATTTCCCTGAGTGCAAAGTCTAAAGTTTATAGTGCACATTTTGAAAAGGAGGATATAATAGATGTCTGGGAGTCTGGTACAGGAAGTAGTAAGTATTCGGTAAGTATTTGTTCCAAAAATACAATAAATAATGTTCAGATTTAAAACTTGGTAATTTAATTTTTAGTGTAACTATACCTAATAATTGTTTACAGATATGTCTAAAGAGACCTCGTCTGAAAATTGGAGCTGTTCCCAAACTGTTACTAAAAAAAAATCAGTGTAACCTAGGGTCAATTGAAGTTATCTGTGATACTGATACCAAATTACTTGGGAACAAAGTACTTATGAATTTATTAATTTTGTTTTCTTAAATAAATAAAAGTGTCTATCTAAAATTAAAAAATATTTTTAGGTGCAAAAAGACCTTGATAAAACATCTTATGATTTAAAAAATGAAATGTTGACATTAGTTGAATCTAAAGAGGTATTTATAAACAGATTAATCATTATTATTTTTATTAATTTTAACAAAAAATATTATAGGCTGATCTTAATGATACAACCATGATTTGGACTTCAAATGATGATTGTATTACCAGACAGAATATGTCCATTCGCGACACTATTTCAGAGTTGCATGCTACAACTAGATTACCTGCTGGTTGGTTTAGAGATTTAATAGAAATTAAAAATAAATTAGTAGTATCATTTTTCAAAATGGGATTGTACAATGAAAATTTTCAACGAAATATAGAAAACAAAACCAATACAAAACCATAATTCACTCGATCTTCGCTTTGCCAAAATAATGCGAAAACAAACCTATTAAAATTGCCAATAAGCCACTCGGGTCTTTTGGCAATAACAACATCTAGCCCCAGGCTCCTTTCAAATATCCATCTCCTAGACTCTACCGTGTACTTTTATATCCGCATAGATTTCATATAAATATAAGATGATGTCTATTGCAAAATTAGAATTAGTTTAGAGTTTGAACTACGTACATACTGTACGTAACTAACTTCTCGGGCAGATGCTTTTCGCTCTGTCCTCAAATTTATATTACACTTAATTGTGATCATTTACTTTTTAAAACGTTAATAAAACTACTTATACCTAACTTGTGTAACTTGTCTCTGCAACCTTTTCTCCTATTCAACCGTCAACGTCTTTGAACTCAAAAATATAAGCGTTAGTGAGGGATCACTACACTGTTCAAAAATATTACTTGACAGCAGGTAAGTAGATATTGTGTATCATATCTAGGTTTGAAACTTAATAATTACATATTATGTATGTATTTTTTAAATTTTTTTTAGTAAAATATGTTTGATGTGTAAAAGGCTTATGAATTCTATTAAAAAGAGACAGTTTAGATTATTAGGTGGAAGAAAGGTTAATCCATATTTTTCTCCTAGTAAAAAAGCTGTATTGAAAAAATTAAGGAATAGTAGACAAATTATGAAAGTAAGATCTACTAGGTCAAATTTAACAATTAATAGACTTCAATCTAGCTTAAATGAAAACAAACAAAAGTTACAAGAAATTTCAAACATTTCTGTTTTGGACATAATTAAAAAATATGGGTTGACAAATATGCAATCAGATCTACTACAGCAGATAATTTCAAGTGCTAAAGTTAAAAACACAAAAAATAGAAGGTATTCCCAAAGCTGGATGATGCTGTGTTTATTGTTCCAGATTCGGTAATAAGTTTACGCTATTTATATATTTTTTTAAATGCATTTTATTTTAATACCTACTATAAATCTTTTTTTATAGCTCTCCCACAGGCTATAAGTTTCTTAGAGATCATAATGTTATACCATTACCTTGTGTGAACACTGTACGAAGACATCTTTTAGCTATTAAAGGAGAGTGTGGGTTTGACAATAGTTTCTTTGAATTATTGAAAAAAAAATTTTTATCTAAAACTGAAAATCAGAAAAAAGGAATATTGTTGATTGATGAAATTTTTCTTCGAACTAGTATAAATGTCAATAGTAGGAATTTAACATATAATGGATTAGAAGACTTTGGTGGTGAAGTTGACAATAAAACAGATAGCTCTGAGCTTGCAGACCATGGTTTAGTATTTATGTGGCAGAGCTTAGGAGATAATGTCACTCAGCCAATAGCTGTTTTTGTATCAAAAGGACCAGTTAAGGGTAAGAAATGTTTTTCTGCTTCTTTAGTTCTATGTCTATATTATTGGTTATTTTAACTATAATTTTTTTACATAACAACATTTTATTTTATTGTAGGTATTAATCTAACTCAGCTAGTTATAAAAGCCATTTTATTGGTAGAAGATGCTGGATTACAAATTTTAGGTCTAACAAGCGATGGCGCGGCTACAAACAAAACTATGTTTAAGCATTTAGGGGTCTGTGGAAGTAAGGCTGATTTAAAAAGTTATTTTGCAAACCCATTTGACAGCAGACGAAAAGTTTTTGTATTTTGTGACGCCCCTCATACTATTAAGAATGTTAGAAACCGTTTAGAACAAAAAAAAATATTAAAAGTAAGCAACACTCAATTAATATATTTACTACAATATAAAATAAAACATTTAAATTATTTTTTTTCAGGTACACCCTTTAAAGGGCTCTGTGAAATGGCAACATTATTGTAAAGTATTTGAACTAGACTCATTGCATCCATTAAAAATTTGTCCAAAAATAACTAAAAACCATATAGAATTAAACAGCTTAGCCAAAATGAAAGTGAAATACGCCACACAGGTGATATGTGACTGCTGAATCTTGATTAATTTTATCATAGGATTAAAACTTAATAATAATATGTTTGTTAACATAAGTTTTTTAAATTTTATTTTATTGACGTATGTTGTACATTTAGCTGTTTAGTAAATCAATGGCTATTGGGTTGAAATTTTATCGTGATCAACAATGTACAGATTTAAAAGATTCTTTAGAGACTGAAATGTTTACACTACTAATGAGTGATATGTTTGATGCTATGAATCGAAAATTCCCAGCTGAAGGAATTCGGAAAGAGGGTCAAGATATAAAGGTTTTTTATATGTTGTATGTTTGTGGCCAAGTGTTTGTGTTCTGTATTAACTATAATTAATAGTCTATAGTTAATAATCCTATGTTGGTAGCAAGCCGTTTTGTTTGTGGAATTTAAAGCTAAGTATTATTTATGTTGCTTGTACATTAAATGTTGTGTATTCATGTTTTACATATTTATATTTCAATCATAATATTTGGCTTAGGAATGATCCAATGTATATTATTAATTATAGGTATTAAATCAATGTTTAGTATGGTTAGATGAATGGGAGAGTCAATTATCTGAAGGACATATTAAAGATGAAGAGTTCTTAACCAAAAACACAGCCGAATCATTAAGAATTACTTTGAAATCCACAATAGACTTATCATTATTTTTATTAGATGAATGTAGTTTTCATTATGTCCTTTCTTCTAAATTCAATCAAGATTCGTTAGAAGTTAGTACTTTCCTAAAACGTTATTTTTGTATAATTTTTTTTATATTATAACTAGTATAACATATATTTTAGAAGTTTTTTGGAATCATAAGACAGTCCGCTGGTCCCAATCCGACATTCTTACAACTTTATAGATTACTTCCAGTGTACTCTTTGATTAAGCCTCCCAAAACTGGAAATTGTACACTATCCGAAGGTACACTAAAAATAATAATTTTAATAATATATATTTTTAAAGGATTACATCAATTAATATAATCAAAAATAATTTTCCTTATTTAGATTCAGATTATGTACCCTTAATAAGTATGTCTGATTTAAAAGACGCAATGGCAGAAAATACATCAGAAATAAGAGAGAAAAAAATTTCAAAATTAAAAACTTATTTAGACACTATCATAGAAGATGGTCGATGGGATATTGATGACATTTTTCAAAAACATAATTTTGATGACAATGCTACTTTTGAGTGTGTAGTGTACTACTTATCTGGGTAATTTGTATTGTGTTGAAATATTTTATGCTGATAAATAATGTAGATTTATTTTAAGCTAACTGAATAATATAATTTTAATTTGATAGATATTTGGCAAGGAAAGTTAGTAAAAAACAAATTGTCAAACTTGTTTATTGGGCATCAAAAATCCAGAAAACAGGTGTAATTCTGAAACTGCACAACTAGTCAATTTAAAATCTAAAGGATTTTTGACTCACCCTGATAACAATTTTTTTATACTTATTAGACAAATTGAGATGTCATTTTCCAAACATGCTAATAGTCAAAATGTATTCGAAGACACCATTGATGACTTTTTCAAATGTAATTATTTGATTCCATTTCCGTGTTCTGAACATAAAAACTATATGGTTGAGTATATATTCACTACTTATATTACAATGAGGATGAGAGAGCATACCTATTTTTCAAATCATCAGCTGAAAAGCAAAAATAAATTTAAAAAAAAACTATCCAAATTAGTTACCTACTAGTTCCATGTTACAATTTTATTGACCTTAGTAGAATTTAAAAGATTTAATTTGTATTATTATAAATTAATGATTAATAAATGATGGGCTATATAAAAAAAATGTAATCAAATTAGTCAAATAATGAATACTTGTACTTAATGAATTTATTATTTTAACAAACATTTTTCAGTTTCCTTATTAATTTTTAAACCTTTTGGTTCTTGCAAAAAATACAAGAAATATAGGAATAATACAGAATATTTAGATGTGCAGAACACTTGGTCTTATATTAATTTTGATGTAATTTACAAACATGAACGGTAAGAGTCTGTAATGCTGGGTAATGGTAATGTAAATTATAATACATTTAATCATAAATATATCAATGTATCACGAAATCGGAAATATTGGCTCTCAATAAAATTAATATTATGGAGTTAGACGTAAATAGTAACAACAATTAAAATATTATGTAAGATAATAGATAAATGTCACAGAAATTTACTGAGTTGTGAGTTTGTGAAAGAGTAGCTTAGACTACTAGAATTTGAATTTTGAATAACGCAACTGCCAACTCCCTACGCAAGTGGAAAATGGATATCACGTTATTAGTACAAAACTCGCCACTATCACCTTCAAGCGCTACCTGTCAGTTCAAGAGCGAAGAACGTTCTTATAACAACTGATAAGTGCTCGTTGTGTATCCTGTATATCTTAATTCGTGGTTCAAACAAGTACGACACCTTATCAATACACCTTGGTGTAAACACAGTGCACTCATTAACTGGATACGCGGGCACTCCGCTCAAGTCATCACCTTATAATACTTTAAACCACCCCTTAATAGTCAATTAATGAAGTACGACAACTACTTTAATGTTAGGCGCAGCGCTCACCAAAGTAACATGATGAGTCTCTACTGAGCTCGGATGTTAATGACCAAAATTTCATTCAAATATGCATTTAAAAATTTAAAAATATGCAAATATATGCCTTAAAATATACCAAATATACTATACCTATTTTTCAACAAAAATTTACAAAAAAATATACGCAAAAAAGGGGTTATTATTAATTCAAAATAAATTATAAAAAAAAAATGCATGGTAGAAATGAATTACTATAAATATAATTATATAAACTAAAATACATGTTACGTAGGTTAAATAATTTAAATATTAAGATTACACTGTATAACAATGATTTTGGATATATTTTCAAATTTTAAAGATCTTCGACGATCTGACAGTATGTTTTTGTAAGCTGAATATGACCGCTCTGCGTCTACAGAGTTGGCCGGTGAGTACTTAAAGTTAACAATGTCGGTAGTTTCTATAGTATTAGGAAGTCCATCAAATGAATGTTTTGCCATCTATTATTTTAGAAATGTTGAATAATACTTTATAGGTACCCAGAATTTTTGTCCAAAACTTTTTGATATTTTGTGTATTTTAATTTACCTTGAGGATTTGAAGCTGCAATTGATAATTTTTCTGAAACGACGTTTATAATGGCAACTGAACTTGATAGAGATTTCCCCTTTTCTTCGAGAGATATTAGAGCAGAAGATAAGAATGAAACATTTGATTTAATAAAAGCTAAATTGGCTTCAACTCTACGTTCACCCATAACTTCTTGAGCTGTTTTTATAGACAAAGCATCATCGGGATTAAATTTTTCTATAATTTTTTTAATTGTTTTATATGAGTCGCAGAAATAAATAGCCGCATTCAACCACGTCCCTCAACGTGTAATCACTGGTTCTGGGGGCAAACTTAGTTCTGGTGCTTCGTCTTTAAATATGTTTATTCTTGCTGGACATTTAAGAAAGACTTTTTTGACAGAAGAAATAAGTTTGTCAACCAACGGAAAATCACTGCGGATTTGCTTAGCTACACGATTTAAAGCGTGAGCGAGACAAGTTACATGAAGCATTTTTGGGAAGAATGTTTGAATCGCTGATCCGGCCTTTACCATGTATGGTGCGGCGTCACTAACTAACAATAAAACATTATTGTGTTCTACTCCTTGAGGCCAAATCAAATTCATAGATCTATCAAAGAGTTGAGCTATTGTTGTACTATTTGTTTTTAACATCCGAGCTCTAGTCATAACCTCATAAAGCCCACATACACGGTCAGTCTTTGAACTTTATTTTGGGTGCTACCCAACCCCCCTATTTGAGCATATGAGTATCGTATACATCAGTTGGAGTTGGGTGGGGTAGGTCATAAATAATTTGTTTGCTTTCATAGAAATTAAAGTTCGATACGCCACTGAATATCATAACAACATACTTCCATATTACGATGGACAACAGTAAGAAAAAAAAATTATTTAATATTATTCACTATTAATTGTTATAAATTAATGAGATATTTTTTTAAGTAGTTAGTATAGAACTATATTATGTATAATAATGTAATTTTACAGCATACTGTATAGGTACATGATAAAACAAATTTTCTGTATTTAAAAGTTAAATTAAGTTTAGGTAAATATAAGTAAGTAATTAGATTACAAGGAATTGAAAATTATTAAATTGTATACTTATTTTGCCAAGGCAATGCTGCGTATGGTTTCACAAAATACTGGCAAAGTCTTTCCCTTATTTCCATCGCTGAGTAAGAAGGTCTCGTTCTATTGTTTTCTATATTTCCCTCAGTATCTTCATATAACAAGTCGATATTATCTTCCTGAATTCCTTGTGGAATTGAGTGCGTACCATCATGCACAAGAATCAAGTTATGCAAAACGCATATAGCTTTTATCAGTTTTATCACTATTTCAATTTTTTCAGTTTTAAAATTGATGGGTCGTTCCAATATTTTAAATTTAGATACCATCATTCCAAACGCACACTCAACTGACTTACGACCTCTGGATAATCTAATACTATAAAAATAATATGGAAGTTACTAGTATTTTAATCATTAATTTGGTTTTAAAATAATAAATTACCTGTAATTAAAAATTCTTTTTGTATTCGTCAATTAACGTCTTGGATAGGGTCTCATAAAGTTGTCGAGTAGGGGAAATGCCTCATCTGCAACGAAGTAATAGGGAAATGCTGGATCGTTTTCTTCGTGTGGCAAACAAGCATTTTCGGGAAGGTTGAGTTTTTTTTAAAATAATAATTGTCCAAATGCAGATTTTTTAAGAACTTTTGAGTCACTGTTCCGACCATATTCTCCTACATCAATAGTGATAAACTTTCCATCAGCGTCTGCTGTAGCCATTAAAACAATTGAAAAATATCCTTTGTAATTGAAAAATGACGATCCTGAATTTACTGGTGCTTTAATTCGTATGTGCTTGCCATCTATACTACCAACACAGTTTGGCAAATTCCATAGCTCATTATATCGATCAGCAATAGTTTTCCACATTATTTGATTAGGTATGGGCATGTATAGAGGCTGTAAAACTTCCCATAGGCAGTGGCGTATTTACGGGGGGGGTCCAGGGGTACTGGACCCCCCCCAGAACTTCTCATAAAAAAAAAAAAAACACTAAAATTCTTACATAAATATTTGCAGAACCCGATTTATGTAAGCACGCGCGGTCGAGCGGAGATAGTTTTTTCCCGTGAACAAAATATAGTTTAAAATTAGTTACAACAGCTAAAACAGATAAATGTTCCTGCAGCACTCCCTAATACTGTTATATTTAGTGGTAAAGATAAGCGATCCAAAAATTTAAAATTTCAATACAGATGGTTGCATACCTTTCCGTGGTTATCGTAGGTACTCCGCAAAATTACATGGTGCATTTTGTACGTTTTGTGTAGCGTTTGCTAAATCAGGAGCTGGCATAAATTCTCAAACACTAGGCGCTTTGGTTAGAAAACCTTTTCAAAATTGGAAACATGCAATGGAAACGTTTAAAAATCATGTAACACTTCAGTATCACAAACAATCCGTCTTAGATGCAGATCATTTCATAGATATAAAAAAAACGTACATTTATCTATTGAAAATCAATTAGACACTGCTCGGGCACGACAAATTTTTGAAAAAAGAAAAAACTTTTCATCTGTTATTGAAACAATTATCTTATGCGGTCGACAATATATACCTCTACGAGGGCACCGTGGTTTTTTAAAATTAACCGTTGATAATAATGATGTTAACGACGGAAATTTTCGTAATTTATTACGCTTTAGAGCTCGCGGTGATGCTTCGCTCAAAATACATCTTGAAAGTTCTGGTACTATAAAATATACAAGTCCTATTAGTCAAAATGCTATAATTGATTCATGCAATTCAATTTTACTCAATAAGATAGTAGCTAGAGTAAATGAAGCGAAATGTTTTACAGTTCTACAATTTGTTCCAACCACTGATGCATCTGAAAAAGGTTTATCAAGACTTATACTTGACAATCTCAGAGAGTTTGGTATAGATACAAAATATCTTCGGGGCCAGGGGTATGACGGTGCAGCCGCGATGGCTGGGAAATATAATGGAGTTCAAGCTTATATAAAAAAAGAACATCCTTTAGCTTTATATGTACATTGCTCTGCGCATTCCTTGAATCTTGCTGTATCGGTATCATGTAACTGACTTAACATGACTTAACGGATTGGCTATGTTAAATATTCACAGGGATGTTGAAATAACTGTTGATGAAGTGATAGAGGAGTTGGCAAAAAAATCTAGACGACTGGAATTTATTTTATAAAAATACTTTTCATATGTAGTGCTAAATACAATGTATATATATATATACTATAAGACTTAGACTATACTATTATATATTTTGTTCAACTTCCTCCAAAAACTTCATAAGGACGTAACTATTACAAGATATCATAGTTTATATTAATTATGTATAAACTGAGGACCCCCCCCCAGAAAAATTTGAAAATACGCCACTGCCCATAGGGCTTTGGATGTAGTTTCTATAATATTACGAACGGTCGTTTCACCTCTCAAAAAATAATATGAAATTGATCTCATTGAAACTTCTCCAGAAAAATACCTATACATAAAGAAAACTCTAGATTCAATATTTTATATTTTATACTAACCTGAAATATGAAATAGTTTTTGTTGTACACAATATTTCAACATTTTTTTTTTAATAGTTTTTAGACACTGTAGACACAATATAAGTACATTATAACATTATATATATATATATTTTTTATTTTTTTATAAGTATATAGGTACTTACATAAGAGGTAATATTAAAAGTTAAAAACTCAATCAAATTTTTTTTGGAAAATTTAAAAATAGGCAATTTGTAACATACCAAACACAAATAATTATGATGATAAAAACATTTATTTGAGTCGAGTAATTGAATATATCTATATTAATTATAATTGTATTAATTTGTTTCAATATATTATTCATTATATTATGTTAGACTATGGTGTAACGAGCTGTGACTACGTATATATTAATAATAGTTATAATATATTATATTATATTCAATATTAGGCATGGTAATAGTAATAATATCAGCATCCGAGTGGCCACATCAATAAGAACTAATTAATGGTACAGCGCGAACACGTTATAGGTATACCTACGCGCGCAATATCCATATTCTAGGAAAGACGAAAAAGCCACAAGAAGTACAAATATATGACTTAGGAAACTAATAATCCGTAATTAACATTTTTTCATAAAAGACGTCAGAAATGACCTCAGGCGGATGCGGCGCGTGTACCATTTGTATACTAAAAATGCCATAGGAGGGATCTATTAGGAATACCGACGAAATACGTCGATGGACAAGACAAGTGTCCATCAGACGAATACCATCCGAGGAGACGAGCACTAGCAGAGCAGCCACCAAGTCAAATACTAAGTCACATCTCGTTTACCACAGTTGTATAAGTTAATTATTTTGGACTTAGTCTATTTTACGTTTTAAATAAATACAAATAAATATCATTATAACAATCAACTTGTTATTTTATTCAAAATACTTCCAATACTGAGCTGAAGTAGTTGGCTCGTTACAATGGTATTATGTACCTTTTTTAATTATATAATATTAACTTTTAAACACAATTTGCTATTTACATCTGAACAGATAAATTTTTATAATAATCTAAATATCTGTTAGTAGAATATTTACGGTTGAGATTGTATTTACCATAGTACCTATGCTATGATTGTATTGATTGAACATTTATAGATTACCTATGTGACTTTTTACATTTTGTTTTGTACTTTGTAACCACCAATTATTATTAATATTATTTTACTATTATGTCTATGCCAAAACTTTTAAACACAATTTTCAATTTATGTGTGAACTTATAACTTTTTATAATAATCTAAATATCTGTTCATATAATATTATTATAGTTGGTATTCAACTACCAATTATTGTTATTATAAGCTCTCTACTATTACTTTCCTATTCGTGTCTGTATGAATAACTTTTTATAACAATCTAAATATCTGTTAGTATTTTATTATATTAAGTAACTTTTTACATTTGTTTTTACTTTGTATCTATTTAATAGTAGTTGTAATACCTTTTATCACTATTATGTCTATGTCAAGAACTTGCATACACTACTTGTGATAATTTATGTCTGTATGAATAACCCTAAATATAATAGTCCAAATATCTGTTAGTACAAGTAGACTGTATTGTTACGTTTGATACGTAACGACTAATGTTTTAATTATATCATCACTATGTATTATTACATACCTATTATACTACTATTTCACACAATTCAATACTATAAGCTAACTGTATTTTACCTCATCTGGTCCGTTATCTGTACGAATTTTTTTTTAATGTACGGGTTTCAGGAAATAATACTCGTCTTCGTTTAGTGTAACTATACCCTACTCAGAATGAAAATTCCCACTTTTGATCACGGAACTGAGCCGCCAGCAGCCGTCAGACCCGCCTGGCGAGTGTCGGCCGGCTGTAGGGATGGGTAATTCATGAATGAATCGATTCAGTTAAATGAACCGATTGAATTGATTCAGTGTTTTAAAATGAATCGGTTCAATGGCTACACTGCAAACATGAATCTTTGAATCGAATCATTCGAAATTCGAATCACTCAAATCACTGCAGTACTGCACTTTTATAGATAAATCTTATCTACAACCATGGTTGAAACCTATCTTGAAATACTATAACTGTGGTTAAAATCATGATACTAGATAAGACGTTAATACATTTAATACCTATTTAGTATTTTAAACTAAGTATTGAGTAAGTAATAATATAATATACTTTATTAATTATTAACCAAATTGTGGAATTCATTTTTGTGAAATGAATATTGTGAATGTTGTGATTCATATTTAATTATTTTGACTTCATAGTATAAACTTATTAACTTTAAAAACTTTAAAAAAACAAAAAAAAAATGTGTACATATACATGAGGCAATAAGAATAATTTTATTTTAAATTATTTGTTCTACTTTAAAAACCTTTTAAGAAAACAAAATGTGTACCTACTGTTACATGAGGTTATAAGTAGATAAAAAAAATTAGTAAAATTTTATTTTAAATAACAATTTAAAAAAAAATTATTTGTTCTACTCTTTTACTAGTCAGTCTACTACGTTTTTCTGTTACAATTTTACCAACCTTTGAAAATACACGCTCACTCGGGACTGATGAAGCTTGAACACATAAGCGCCGTTTCATTATTATAAATAATGTCGAATAAATATTTTTATTTTCGTTCCACCACTTAAGCGGAACTGCAGTTCTTGGAATCAGTGGCTCCTGGAGATATTTATCAACTTAATTTATGATTACAGCGGTAGGTTCTCGAGACTGAATTATATCGCTTACTTCTGTGTCAAATTCGTTCCAAATAGAATCTATGTTCTGGTTCATTTCAACGTTTATCGGTTCTGACAAAGCTGGTACAGGTAATGCATTATTTTGCTGTTGTTGGCTTAAAATTAATTTGCCTTTGTTTATAATTGATCGTTTTACATCTTGGAAAGCAAAGTTGTTTTTAAAGCCAAATTTTTTAAAACGAGGATCCAAAAAGGTCGCCTCTGCTAACATAATGTGTTTTTCTGCATGTTTAAATCTATTGTCAACTTGTTCAGATAATTTTGTTATGAAATTTTTAATTTCAGGGAGTGTTTGATATTCTGATTTTAGTTTACTACAGTAGTTACACAATGCCTGGCTAAATAGAATTGTTTTGGATATGGTTACACTTTTTTCACTGCTCATTTCGATGGTCATTGAACCGTTTTAATATATCACACGACTTAGCTATTATTTCCCAATCATTAGATGTCAAGTTATTGTCGTGGTTCAAATCAGCTAACGCAGAGAGCAGTGGTGTTTTTAATTCTAAAAATCGTTGAAACATAAAAAAAGTAGAATTCCACCTGGTAACAACATCTTGAATCATTGAACGTACAGGGGAATAACCTAACTGTTGTTGCATTTGATTTAATTTTTCAGAGCCAACCATACTTCTTTTGAAGTATTCAACAATACTTTTCACTTTTGACATTTATTTCCTGCAAAGATTATTGGACAACAAGGTTAAGACTGTGAGCAAAGCATGATATGTGTCTCCAATTACACAATCGAATAGCTGCAGTAACATTTGCAGCATTATCTGTTGTGCATGCTCCCACTTTATTTTGTAAGCTCCAATCTTTTAAAGTATTTAGAAGAGAATTTTTAATGTTTTCACTTGTGTGTCTCTGAGGAAATTTTGCAAATTGAAGAAGATAAGATTTTAATAGACATGACTTATCTATAAAATGAACAGTCACTGCCATATAACTTTCATTTTTCAAAGATGTCCATGCGTCAGTAGTTACAGAAACATATTGTGCGTTAACTTCTATATCTGATTTAATTTCATCAGAAATCTTGTTATATAGAACAGGAAGTAATGAACCTGTAAGAGTTTTTCTAGAGGGAAGTGAATAGCCCGGATTCAACATGTTTATAAGTTTCTTATACTAAAAGGGTAATATTCTTTAACGATCATTCTTATTACCTGTTGAAATTGCAAATCTGTTGTTGTTCACTACGTGCTGGCTGGTGAACAAGAGACATTCTCTATCCAAAGAAATTGAAGTTGACGGATTTTGAATGGACATCGGTGAAGGATCATCTATGTGTTCTTCGTCCACGTCATCATTTGGCCTTCTTCGTTTAGACAAATCAATTGTTACATGTTTTGATCTAATATGTCTTAATAAATTAGTTGTTGACGATTGGTTAAATTTAAGCACTATTTTACAAAAATTACATTTAGCTTTATCGTTTTCAACTATTGTAAAATAATCCCAAATTGCACTGGTCTTACGATTCATTTTTATAAAAAATAAATGTACTTAAAACACCTGTAATTTTAATTGAATAACCAAATGTATTCAAAACTATAATTTAACAAGGAAAGGAATAGAACAAACTTCAGTTGTCACTGGTGAATTGTGAATGATTATTATTAAAATTGAATGCAAACAAAATTATAAATAGTTATCAAACAAATCTAATATGCATGGACATTTTACATCCATGTTATTTATAGTATTATTTATAGTACATAATTATATATGTATACTCTGTAATGTTTTTCATGATTATGGAATAAATGATTTTGATGTAAAAACTGAATATTATAGACTAGAATATTTTATTTATATAAAATAAATATTATACAACTAACCATAACTAACATGACACAAGATTTTGTTTTGACTTATCAGATCCCTATGTGTAATAATAACAAAATACCATTCTTATTTTACATTGTGTAGCCATTAAAACATTTATTTTTATTTTAGTGGGATGAGGGCAGTGGTTAGTTTGTAAACCTTTTATCTTTGTTCAAGATTTTTTTTAGTGTAAGATTACAACTTATAACTCTGCTTATACTCCTGACTATGATAGTGTACAATGTACATAGTTATATTATTTTAGTATTCTTCACCTTGATTGTATAATACTATACAGTATGCTGTATGGCTAGTATAGTAGTATGAATAAAAAAATAATAAATAACCTAATCAATTTTTATTTGATAAAACGTCTATCTAGTTAATTGTTTATCTAGTTTGACCAAGGTGGTAATTAAACATAATTTAGTTAACTTTTTTAATGAATTAAACATATTCTTATTCTTATAACTAAAATGTTAGTATTGGATTTATTGCTTATTAACTATTTATCAACTTAACTTCAATATTTTTTCTCATCAACTTACTAACTGTCTAATTATCAAATAATAAATTATTTCAACATTATTATTAGGTATACATGGCAAGTATTTGCATTTTTTCTTAAATAATTTTTCTGAATGGATGTTTCTTGTGGACATTATATTTTATTATGCTATGGTATATATTATGTTAAGTAAAAACATTTTAAATTTGGAAATTTAATCGATAAAATTGAGTAAGTCCGGTTAGGTTATGACAGCGTCGCCGGACCTTTACAAAAGTAGAACGTAGACTATAATGAACTAGGGATGGGTAATTTCATGAATGAATCGATTCAGTTGAGTGAATTGAATCATCTGAATCGACTCACTCAACTGATTCATATTTCCCATCCCTAGAGAGCTGCCATCACCCGTCGCTAACGACAGACGCCGCCATGTATACAGATGATCATAATAACAAGATCGTAATAATTATTAACTATTATGTTATAATGTATATTTTTTTTTCTTTACTATGTTTCTTGTACTTTTACCTTATTTTTCTGCACCAAACACAATGCCTACGTCGTATACAATTATTCGTGAAACGGTGTGATATTATTGTTCACTACGTGAAATGCGGCACAGCAAACATCAGTGCCAACTGGTGGTAATAGACATGCGCGAACAAGACGAGTTTTCGACGAAAAAATCTAGAGAAATAACATTTTTAATTTCAATTCGTTCAATTTTTTTTATTAGGCAATGAAGTAATGGGATTACTTTACTAGCCGTCACATAGTTTTGGCCACATAGTTCTTTTGTTGCAGCTTCAAAAGGTTTGAGTAGAAACATTATTTCTTTAGCAATGAATAACTGGGTACCAGAGATCATAGGTGGACTATTATGGAATTTAACTATAGTGGATGCTATGTTGTCTGAACAAATAATGAATCTTTGTAACATATAATATATGGAATTCCATCGCGTAGGAACGCTTAGTTTTAATTTTAATTTAGAAATTGTATTAAATTCATCGGTTGCAGAAACGGAATGCTTAAAAAAAGTTACCAAACGTTTTATTTCATTAATTAAATTAGCAATGTCATTGGTGTCATCTTAAGCATTTTGAACCACTAGGTTTAATGTATGCGCAAAGCAAGGTAAATGTTTGGCCTTGCCGAAGAAATTGTACACAGCATTTTTTATGTTAGCGTCATTATCAGTTACAACAAGAATTATTTGATTTTTTTCAATACCCCATTTAACAAGCAGATTGTTAAGCCACCCAATGATATTTTCTGATGTATGTTAGCGCCATTATCAGTTACAACAAGAATTATTTGATTTTTTTCAATACCCCATTTAACAAGCAGATTGTTAAGACACCCAATGATATTTTCTGATGTATGTTCTTGTAGTTCAAGAACACCTAATGTGACACTTTCCAACTGTAATTTGGATAGACTTAGAAAGTGTCCGGTCATGCCAAGATAACTTTTTGTATTGATGGTGTCTGTCCAAATATCTGTCGTTAAGGTGATATTTTCCACTAACGATAGTTTATTTTTTATTTGAGTGGATAGTACATCATACTTTGAACTTATTATTTTGGAGATGGTCTTCCTAGATGGAATTTTATACTTCGGTGCCACTGTTTTCATTAAAAGTTTAAAACCATCTTTTTCAGTCGACCAAAGTGGCATGTTATCTTTGACCAACATATAAACTATTGAGTTTGTGACTGATACACTTTTGGCACTTCTTTCTAAAAAATAAATAAATAATTTTATGAGCTAATTATATTTAATCTTATAAAATTTAATTTTTTTAAATTGCCATCCACCTCATATAATATAAAAAGTAACCTATGGATAATTATAATTATCAACTATTAAATAATATATTTAATACACACACATATATTATAAAAATAGTTAATTTATTAAGGTTAAATGGTAAAATTGATTCTACTGAGCTTGTTTCGTGCATATGTTTTAATAATTATACCTCAACGACTATTTTTATTTTGTATATTTTTAGATTAAGTAATTCATTTTTTAATTTTAAATATAAAAACTGTAATAAAAATATTCATTTTGTTAATAAATATTAGTTAGTTTGAAATAAAACAATATAAAATAATAGATACATTTTGTTAAGCTTTTATGTACTTACAAAAATAAGAAAAATTATGAATTGATTGGACAAATGACAAATTGTCAACATTGGAAATATCTATGTCTATAAAATTGTTGTCACTTACATTTAACACTATACTCTGTTCAAAATAAGATCGTGACCCGCGGCCGAGTTGTGCGCATGGGCGTGGCTTTGTTCCGTGGCTGCGCCCGACGCGTCGCTGTAGTGGGGACGGCATCTGGCCATATGTCTGACCGCCGCCCGACGAAAACTGGTCGCCGCCGGGTCACGATCTTATTTTGAACAGAGTATAGCTACTCTTCACGGATGTAACATGACCTCGGTCGTGCATATATATAGGGCCTTTGATGTATGTAATATTCACTTGCACAGGCGTCGTTGTACAGAGCGTATACGATGTGTGTGTACTGTCACAGTTTAATTGTCCAGTTGTACGTTATTAATAATAACGTACAACTGGACAATTATAAGTATAATTATAAGTACAACTATAAGTATAATATATAATAACTTATTATATATTATACTTATACATAATCATATTGTCGTGTTATTACTTATTATATTAAAGCTAACATCATTAGTCCGTCAAGCTTCACTTTCAACAGGTTATGGGCCCAGTCAATAACCAAGACATACAGTCTAGTGGATTCGTGATCGAAGTATTTTTATATTTGTAATAACGCAGAAAACTACAACCAGTCGGAGATATCCTGGATTTCGGAAAACGGCGGAACAGTGTACATAGGTAAAGTTTTGTTATAAATTGTTATACAGGAAAGTATACGGGAAACCATCGGTCATGGAAGACACGGTGAAGATAACAAAATTATGTGCGGAAAACTGGTCGTTATGGAAATTCCAGATGAAGGTCATTCTAAATGCCTTGGAAGTAGGTGAGATAGTTTCAGGTGAATGGACGAAACCAAGTCTACCTACAAAAAAGTCGGCAGGAGAGACCGACGAGGATGCCAAAGCACGTTGGCAAAGGCATACAAACGCTTGGAAAAAAGCGGACGGTAAATGTCAGAGAATAATAGTTACCTCAGTGGACGATGGTCCATTACAATATTTGATTAACTGTGAAACTGCATTGGAAATGTGGGAGAAACTGCTGAGTATTTACGAGCAGAAGTCTGAGGCAAGTTTACATTTGCTTCAACAACAATTTTTCAGTTATTCAAAGAAGTCGACAGATGACATGTCGACGCATATTTCTAAATTGGTCAATTTAGGAAGGAAACTGAGAGTAGCGGTTGAACCAGTTACGGATAACATGGTTATGACAAAAATACTAATGACATTACCAAAAGAATATAATCATTTTTACAGTGCTTGGGATTCAGTCCCAACGGGAAGTAAAAATATAAATAATTTGACTAGTCGATTGTTGATTGACGAATCACGGGTTATCCAGATCAAAGGTGAAGTTGGTGAATGGATGATGTTAATCATTAGTCCGTCAAGCTTCACTTTCAACAGTAACAATATATCAAACGCCTCGTATTAATTTTTCACGCTTCTCGATCCAACAAATTTAATAACAAATTGACAATAGAAAAAACTAAAAAAAATCGAAAATGTCCGTAAACAGCTCAGAAAGAGTGAAAGTGTTATAGGAATTGATAAAATATAGTGTAAATTGTTAAAATTATATACAGTTTTTAATTAACAAAAATGAGATAAATAATAAATTATGTATGGTTGTGTGAATAATATCAATATTATCCTATGTTGTAAAAATTTGAACTTCAAACACTCATAAAAATTCAATTTGAATGTCCGGTAGATATTTTTTTCATAAAATTAAAAAAACTTACGATTAAAATTTCCAAATCTTAGATTTAAAAAGAAAAATTGTTATGAATTTCTAACATAAAGTAATTTGCACATTTTCTTCATTTTTATGTATTTTCTATGTTGCCAAAATTCGAACTTTAAATGCTTGAAAAAAAAGTGTGACTTTGTATAATTAATATTTTTTAACTACTATTAGGAGCCAGTCATTAAATTATTTATTACGCTATTCATTATTGTATATTGTATTCGAAGATGTAAGCGTGTATTTTAGTCTAAGTAGTCTAACTATATAAATATATAATGTCCTATACTCATTCATTGATATATATGACGACTTAGTATTGTATTTTATACTAAAGTCATCAGTATGAAGTACGTAGTTTATAGGTTATAATGTAATAATTACAGTGGTATACTCGACTATAAAATGTACCAACCTATGTAAAATTTGAAAAAAAATTGTTATTTTTATGGAGTCTCGTGGAAGTTATGCATGTAGAAAGGTTTGTATAATATAGTGGCGTAATTTCAGTTTTTGAGAAGGGGATAGGCAAATATTTTAGATCGGTCCATAATAGAACTGAGAAAAACAATTATCCGTAATAATTATATACCTATAAAAATTAAGAATCCCTAGTCACAATTTTTTTTATAAGCATTTAAAGTTCAAATATTGACAAAATACATAAAAATGACAAAATTTGCAAATTATTTTAAGTTAGAAATTCATAAAAAATTTACTCTTTAATTCTAAGATTTTAAAATGTAATACAAGATTCCTCATAAGTTTTTCCACCTTTATTAAAAAAAAAATGTCTAGAAGAAAGTCAAATTAAATTTTTATGACCGTTTGAAATTCATATTTTTACAACATTTGATATTCGCTCGATTTCTCATGTAACGATTTTCTTATTTTGTTGTAATTAAAAAACGAATGACTGTATATATTTGAAAATTTTACTGAATGTTTATATTAGCATTTTCTATACACCATTCAATTTTCAAATTAATTTGACTATTTTTGAGCTGTTTACAGACATTGTCAGTTTTCAATATTTTTAGTTTTTTTTTTTCTATAAATATCAATAAAAATGTATTTGTTGGGCGAAAAAGCTTGAAAATTTAATACGAGGCTCCTGATATATTGTTATAATAGCAGTCGCAAAATATTAAAAATACATTTTCACAATTTTTTTTATAGGCATTTGAAGTTCAAATTTGGACAAAATTTATCAAAATATCGAAAATTATCAATCACTGTAATTAAAAAATTATAAAATGTTCAGTTATTATAATTAAGGATTGGAAATTTAAAACAAAGATTCTCATAAATAGTTCATACTGTAACCAAAAAATCTAAAAAATACATAAACACAGTTTTTTTTTACAGACATTTTATATTCAAATTTGGACGAAATGTTTAATATTTATGTTCTTTTACCCAGACTGACATACCGTCTCCGCTCAGAATCGTTTTTCTTATACAATGATATTATATCATTGAATTCAAAATTAATACCTTCCATTATACAGTGACCCCTAGTAACCTACTGTACAGCAGAGCGACATCCACTTACCCGCTTTTTTTTTTTTAATTTTGTGCATTTTCTTCAATATTTTTGTCGTTTGGTGTAGATACACTTGTTGACACAGGTATTAATATTACTTTTTTATATCAAACGTTTGGGTGGAGTACAAAGCTTCTAGCGGGATTTTTTTCTAGCATTACTCATAATCTAATACTAAGGTCTCATAAACACAATAATTACACTGAAAATCAAGAGTTTGATGAAGACTCTTTAGAAAGAAAAAATGTTCAGCGTCATAATAATAAAGCCAATATTTATGCAAATTTAATGGTTTAAATCCATCAAAATTAAAAAATTAAAAATATTTAATATTAAATATTTGCACCCATTTTTATAAGTAATACAAATATTTGTATCATATTTATTTATTAATATATTTATTTATTTAACTTGTATACCTACAAATTAATTTTACATGGGACTATAATTGTTTTTTTATTACTTCGCAAAACAAATATGTAAAATTCTAAGGGCATAATATTATCTATCTATATATATATAAAAATGGAGACAAATAATTCGAAATTGCATCAGTTGAGAACGGCTGGGCCGATTTTGCTCAAATTTTTTTTAAGATGTTCGTAATTGCCAGGTGAAGGTTTTTACGAAAGAAAATTTTTAAAAAGTCAACCGAATAATTAGAAAAACTGCAAAAACTATTTATTGATGTCTGGGATTTGAACTCGATACCGTTGTCTTTATTTACTCTATGGTGTATTATATTATATTGGTTGCTATTGGTTAATCGGGCATGTTTGTTGATTTGTATTATTATTTTTTGTAAATATATCTTATATATAAATGAATGACCTATGAGAAGAAGATACGCTAATTTAAAAAGGGTTAAATTTGGTTTTTTTTATTCATCGGTTTTTAGTACGGTTAGGTTAGGTTAAGATTTATAGGTAGGTGGAATTAAGTAAAAACGTCAAACTTGGTATAACTTTGGTACTTTTTGAGTTAAATCATACACTTACGTACAAACAGCACGGGGTCCGCGATCTACCGCAGGTAAATTACCTATCTGATAATGTACTGCTGGCTGCTGCAATTCAGAATTTTTATTCCGGGCAACAAAAAAGTTAAGATAAATATAGAACATCATACACCGAATATTAAATAACGCATTGAACAATGTTTGAGTCATATAGAGTTGGTACATTTAACGGGAA